TTGTCGGCATCAGCTTTTGTCACCGATATTCCTGGATTCTGCAACATAAAAAGATGAAGTTGTTGTTTTGAAATGTAATTTACATTCACGTGTTTGATGGACATCTGTACAGGAGCATCTATACCTAAATTTCCCCATTCCCATGTTAAAATGGCGAGATGTTTACATGTCAGAACAATAAATGCTTGGGACTGTGTTGGTTGGTTCACCCTTCATCACAATTATATGATGAGTGAATTATTGTAGAAGTCATCCATGTGCTGGCAAAGCTTAAAATTAAGTGTGTGTGTCTTAGAGTGGCAGGTGTGCTTGTTACCGTACTGGGTCTGTGACCAAGTGTTTTGTGTTTTTGTAGTTATTTTCTTTGATTTGATGTTTTACACAATTTTGGTTCTCTTTATGGTTTTCTGCTTGTGTTATATTTATCATTCCTAGTCTTTAGTTTTCTTCTACTGTGCCTTCTCTGTGTTCCATGGTTAGTTACTTTTGTCTCATGTTTCTAGTTCCCTAGTAAGTCATGTCTCCACGTCACAGTGCTAAGTCTGCGTCTTTGTGTATGTCTCTTGTTTCCCGTTTTGCTGTGATATTCTCGCCTCCCATGCTCAGTGTTTCCAGTTTTGCTTCCTCCCTGTCTCGTTTTGTCAGATTAAGCTCTGTGTTTCCCTCTGTCTGTTGTTGTGTTCTTACACAGTAAGAGTACAGCATACATTTGAAACAGCTCCTTAATTTAAATTGTTTATCAACAGTAACAGTTGTTAAACATTTATTAGATAAACATGGTGTTTGCCAAAGGCTTTTATGATACGTAGGAAGAGATTTTCAGCTCACCACAAGCACAGCAAAGAACCTCTGACGTTTGCAGCTGCAAATAAATTCATGTGCCGTGTAATTTGTGTCACAACCTTCATTGCTCCAGTAACCTATAAAGAAAACATTCTGAGTAACTAAGTCATTTTATTTAGAAACAAACTAACTGAAGGTTGACATCTCCAAATTACCTGTTCCATCCTTTGCTGATGTTTCCTTCCAAAATACACACGTTCCACTTTCAACCTGGAATCAAATTGAATGGTAAACAGGTTGTTACATTTTCTATTTAAGATGTTCGTCCAACACTTTTGTCTTTTTACCTCTTTGTTGTGTTTGAAGGTTAACGTGATGGGTTGTGAGAGCTTCTCGACTGCATGGTTTCCTGCCCGCACACATATGACTGAGTACCTAAATACTTCCAGACCCCCAAGTCTCCTGCTTTTTTCGGGAGGACTCAGCTGAAAGAAGGATGATACATAACATTCATGTTAGGGTGAGATTAATTGGAAATTTTTTTTAACTTTATTCCTAGCAGACGTCTTGTAGTTACATTTCCACAAGTGGTGCAACGGATTAAAAATCTCAAGGTTCAGATCGGATCACGGTTTTAAGTCACAGATCGGATAAATTTTCAGATCAGCAAAAAAAAAGAAAGAAAAAAAAGACAAAAATTTAACATTTACTTATTAACTTATTTAATTATTTTTTGGCTATTAAAACATTCAACTCAAGACTCATTCCATGCAATTGTATAAAAACTAATTAAGGTGCAATATAGGGCAGTACAGGGCTTTGTATCTACCACTCCGCTGTGATATAATGAGCGGTCACGGTCACGTAGCTTTCCGTTGCCCTGGAGGTCCACCCATTTGTAGTTGGGCAACAGAAGATGCCTGGGACAGTTCAGCCATAACTTTAAACTTTTCCTGCTCATACATGCCTGGGTACAATCTTGTCACTGAAGTGGACGTGCAACAGGATATCATAGCGTGGCTCAAGCACGTTCATCATAGTTTAAACCCCTTATTTTGCACAATGTCTGCAGCTAAACACCCCAGTAGCTTTTGTAATAGCTTTAGCCCGGTCAGACTGGGCAGCAAAGGGCTGCTTAAATGCCGCAAACTCCTCTGCTCCTCCACTTGGACCGCTAGCGCTGGCCATAACTATTGCTTGACAGACTGACCACGCGCACCATACACATCCTTTTTTTCCTTCTTTTTCGGATCACGTGCGATGATCCGTTGCACCACTAATTTCCACATCACTTTAAGATTTTTTTTGAAAATGTTGGCTAGTTGCAGGTGCAGTTTGAAGTGCCACAAGTACAGTGTTATGAAAATTTTTTTGCATTTTGGTATATTTGTAACTTGGGTGTACTGCTGGATAGCTCGTTCAAACTCAGTAAGAAGCAAGTGTCTGCTGTAGTGAGATATAGCTTCCACCAACTGCGCCTAATCTCTATGCGGCAGCTCGCCTTCTGACTGGTACAAGGAAATTCTGCTCTATTACACCTGTTCTAGCCGGCTTGCACGGGCTGCCCATAAAGTACCGTATTCAATTTAAATTATTACTTCTTACGTTCAAAACTATTAGTAAATTAGTGCTGAGTCTCGGGGTGACCATGCGTTTGCTCTGGCTGCCCCGGTACTGTGGAATACCCTCCCTCTCGACCTCCGCGCCTCTGATTCTATTGCACTGTTTAAATCACGACTAAAAACCCATTTATTCAATCTTGCCTTTCTCTCTAGTTAACATTTCACTTATGATTTTACATTATGCACTTTTATGCTCATTTAATTCCTTGTTTGTTGTGTATTTGCTTCTTCTTCTATGTATCAGTGACAGTTATCTGCTTGCATATTTAGTACTTGCTATTTCTATTATCTTTCTTTTATTCTCTATGTTACTTTTCAAGCACCTTGGTATACCCTTGGTTTTCAGTGTGCTTTATAAATAAAGTTTATTATTATTATTATTATTATTATTATTATTATTATTATTATTATTATTATTTTGCAATAACTGTCAACAATTTTTTTTTACATGACTGTGGAGGAATTTGTCCTAGTTTTCACGGTCAGACGGTCCTACCCGGACGACCTGCTTGTGTGTGAGTGTCTCCCTCCCTTTATCACTCGGGAGGAGAAGCACACACGGATTTTCACTGAAGAGACTCACCTGCACCACCTTCGGGAATTGGGAGAAAAATCACCTTTGGAGAATCGCACTTCTTTCTTGTTTAAGACTGTATTTGAGCACTGTAAATAAACGCACTGTCTGCTTTGCATCCAGAGCTCCGCGCTTGAGTCCATACCTTCCATTAGCCGTGACACCAGTCTACTTTGCAGAATTGTTTTAATTCAGTCAAACAAGGATTTTTGAAGATGAATGGTTTGTATATAGTTGTGTTTAAATATCTCAAGCAGGATATCTTAAGTCCAGACTTCGATTAGACCCCTGTGAAACATTCATGGTAGAGAGCTGAGCCATTAATGAAAATACAACCCAGAACACTTCTTCAGGTTCAATCTCAAAGAGATAGAGCTGTAAAGACAAATTGCATTGTTATGTTCAGGCCTGTGAAACAGGCTCTGTAAGATTTTTAGAATTATGTTGATGGACAAAACTAAATGCTCCAGAAGCTTTCGGATTCATGCTTGTGAAGCATGTTGTTGTGAGTTGGCTGTATGGCAGGCTTTTTATAGAACTGTAGTCAGAATGCATTGCATTACTGAAATAAAGGTTAACTTTGTTTGTAGACTGGTTGAGGAGTTTGTAAGATATATCAGACAAACTTTAATTTTAGATCAAATTAAAGCAAACACTTCTCATTGTGGCCCTCAGTGAAACGTAAATGGACATCTTATTAAAGGAGCAACTTTTAATCAGTTTTCATAATAAGCAACAGCTGAGTGTGAAGAGACTCTGCTGGAGGAATGCAAGACGCATCAGCACTAGAAAATGTTGAACCTCCTGTGGATAAATGATTAAGGTTTGTTTTCTGTTGCTTTTAGCGTTACCAACCTTAAAATAACTGCTGTTTATTACAGAGGCCACCACCAGGATATCCACCTCAGACACATTTCCTATGCTTTCTTGTAGAGCTGATGATGGGATGTGAACTCTATGTTCAAATGTAGGTCTCACATCAACCTAAAAAGCATACACGAAAACATAACTTTAAAAAATGTGTTGGTTGTCAGTAATTAGAGTTCATTAATACAAGAATACAGAAATTCAGATCAAATGTAACTTTTTCACTTCTAAAAAGCACTTCAGCTCCAAATGACCTCACCTCTTGAAGCGAGTCTACTTTGAGTTGTTTGATGCCTGTCATGGAGCGGCCTCTTGGCTTGCAGGTCATAATTCGATCCTCGTAACAACTACCAACAGATATTTAACATAGTTCAGATATATAAACATGCAAACAGGGATATAACTGAGGATAAAAAAGACAAACTAATGCAAAGAGATGAGAAGTAAGATCAATTATTTCATAGTGGACCTTTCTCTGCTATTTGATTACTTCATTTGTTCATGGATATACATTTAAAGGAGAAAAAATGAAACTGCAAGAACTTGAGTTGAACAAAAATAAATGATCTTGTACTGCTTTAATTTGAATTTCTGACAGTAATTTAATAATAATGTTCATATTATCATATATCAAATTCTACAGCTTTGTTAAGTCTTTTGGCATTTCAAAATGTGATACTGCTACCTTTGGCATCAACGATTATAAACTCCTGTTTTAAATAAACATTTAACCTTGAGCCCTCAGCGTAACATTTGAATGCACTGTCTAACTGGTTAGTTTTCAAAGTAAACAGGCTTATTTTAACCCAAACTAGTGACTAAACTACATTTTTTACCAACTAATCGTGATTCATACATCTAACCATTACTAATACACAAGAACCTCATAGTTTGATAAAGATAAATATATTTAAATGAAGACATTGGTACATAGAACATTTTTAAATACTATGATGTTGTCTTTCACAGGAAAACAATGTGAGAAATTCAGACAAAGCTGCTGCCATGCCAGAGACCGCAGTGTTACTGCAGCTGGTTCTTTGATGCATGAGCTGCAGAAATGATAAGACAAGGCATAAGTTGTGGTATTTTAACCCAGTCCACATTTTTTTACTAAACCTAACTGAAAACTTTTAGCTGCCTAAATCTGTCAAAGCAGCTAACACAAGGCAAAAATAAAAATACAATATAAAAAGTACAGTAAAAAAGACAAGTAGAGACAAAAGTCAACAGTGAGCGAAAGAGGACACAGAGGTTCGCAGTCTTATGATTTACGCCATCTCCAGCACTTCTGCCTACGTCTGAGCTCTTTAAATCAAGAAACATGAGCATCAGCTAAAATGTTAGAATTGTCATTTAAATAATGTTTCTAGATGAATCAAGTCTGTATTAAGTTTAACAAACACCAGCTTACACAATACACTTAAACAATAATACAAAATTATGGTTACTCCAAAGTGTTACACTGTGTTCCTCTAGTTCAGGGGTGGGCAACTCCAGGCCTCGAGGGCCGGTGTAACGCAAGTTTTAGATCTCACCTTGGGTCAACACACCTGAATCACATGATTAGTTTGTTACCAGGCCTCTGGAGAACTTCGGGACACGTTGAGGAGCTAATTTAGCCATTTAAATCAGCTGTGTTAGTTCAAGGACGCATCTAAAACCTGCAGGACGCCGGCCCTCGAGGCCTGGAGTTGCCCACCCCTGCTCTAGTTTATAGATCTGTGACTCATTTCTCCACTGTCCTCTCAGATAAGACTGGTCTTGCTCTCAGCATACAAGTATCAGTGTGTGATTTATATGTTAGAGGCTGTATACTAACACTCTAACAAGTATTATTTGATGATGAAGCCATGTAAAAACACCGAAAAGCAGCCACTGTAGAGATGAAAACATTTTAGCCAGTATTGACAGCATTTATCTAACATTTAACTATATACATTTTCAAAAACAGGAATGTGATATGTACAGTAAGTTGAATTACCCTATCCATGATTCACTTTTTCGGCATTCATCAAGAACATTTTCACAGAAGTCTGTCAAAATAAAACACACAGGAATGGAAAGATCAAAATTAGCATAATGAATACTTTTAAACAAGATTGGAAGCTGATTAAACGTCTAAGTGGCATCTAACTCCAGAGACACATGAGAGACAAGATGTTCTTTTACAAGTGTTTAATCAGCACACTTGTAGGGAGTTTTGTGAAACTGGTTGACTTAGAGTCCTTACTAGCTATTGGTAACAAAGAATCTGGGGTAATTTTACTTTTTCAAGGATTCATAACTTTGAGATATTTAGTGTGCTATTCACTTCACAAGTATACTCCTTTCAACATAAGAGTGATAACATGGTAGGTTTACTCACCACCAGCTCGGGACATAGAAAAACAGAGGGTTGTTGTGATAAAAAGTGTAATCCACATTGCGTCTCACTCATCAACAGATATAGATCTGCTGTAAGAGGTTGAGAGGGTATTTTTCTGTCTGGTTGATGTTTGCTGAATGAGGGGGAGTTTCACATCTACATATATCACATGCTTTAACAGATCTGTGGTTCACAGCTCAGATGAGGAAATGACTCAAAACAGGCTGTTTTTTGTTCAGTGCTATCACAATGATCAAATACTTTTAAGCTTCTGCTCTAAATTTCCACAGAAATATTAACTGAGAATAGAGACTGGTACACTGTGTAGAAAAAAACAGTAGAGCCATTTAAGAGTCTGTCTGTGAAGACAGTTCTAATAATTTATGTATTTTAAAAAAAATAATAACTTAGAAACAAATACAAATATTTGTGCTGTAACTGAATGGCTGACATTAGATGGCATCTAGAGGAGGACATTTCTAAATCATACAGTTTTCATGTGTAGAAAACAAAAGGTCAGGGGACCATGGTCAAGAAATACTGATACTTACAGCTTACTGAGGAAGTGAAACTGGAGCTTGCGCCACACCAGTTCTACAGGTTGCAGCACACAAAATAAGATGCAAATCTTTGAAGGTTACGGGTCTGCACTATATATTATTTCTCTATTCTTACTGATGTATTTCTCTTTACATAGTATTTCATTTCTATTCAGAATAGTTAATGTTTTATTCTAAAAATGCAGTTAGTAGTGTTTTTTTAAGCTTACCTTAGACATTAGAAGTATTGGATGCAAGAGATTTGTAGTATTCCGGGTTTATCATTTGAAGTAATGGTAGGAAAGAAAGTATTCTCTGCTTCTCTGTTTTGTGGGTTAACTGGTCCACGAGAAAATAAAGACATTCACAGTTTGTTCAAAATTGATGAACAATTTGTGATGAACAATCAAAATATGATGACAACAATCCAGCCAAACCCAAGACACCTCATAGAAAAGATAAAAAAATAGAAATAAAGATTTAAACGTGTAGAAGTTAAGAAAGTAGACAAATGTAAAACTGAAAACAGATTACTTTTGCAAGCTCCATTTCAAGTCTTAAATAAATGATGCATAAAATTCTGTAATATTAGAAGCTGCATCACTGAGGAGCACACCAGGAAAGTTACATCTGCAGGATGATTTCATTACAACAGAGCTATTATGCTCGTTTCCATATCTATATTAATATTCTTTGAATGTTCAAGCTTAGCTTTGCAGAATTCACAGTTCAGTAAATTGTTTATCACATATGTGGTATGTGATAAACAATGTGGTATGGAATTTCTTAATGGATTCTGAATAAATTACTCACATTGATGAGTTATCACTATGTGGTCGTATAAACATTCTTATCTATTTGACAGGGGTCACTGGACTGCAACTAAAGTACTTTTTGAATGTACATGTACTTTTTCACTATATTTTGGCTGTTAATATCATGCTTGGTACTTCATAAATAATAATGTTCATTATGTTCTTGGCAGAGGGAGGAATAACACCTCATTGGAGAAGGTGATTCATGACAATGTTTACTTTTTCCAAAATATCTCAAAGATCACGGAACAAGTTGTGGTTCTGAGTTATGATAGAAATATTCACACAGGCAGCATATAACCACGTGACATGACAGGCATTGAATCAGTTTGAGAGTTGTCTGCTGGAGACTGTGCTGCTATGGTCACATGAAAGAAAATTATCAGTTGTTGTTTTATTAAGGCCATTCAGGAGAATGGTGCGTCTGGCCCCTTTTTACAGACCATTCGGTCCTTGTACAAATATAAAAATATAAATAATAGAGCTCAGTTCGTATCACTGGAAGTAAGTTAGACCTGTTTCCGGTGGGTGTTGGACTCCGCCAGGGCTGCTCTTTGTCATGATTCTGTTCATAATTTTCATAGTTTTTTATGAACAGAAAATCTTTTTATGAACAGGATATCTGCAGCGCCGTGAGCGGTAAGCAGAAACGAGGGGGTTTGCCATTCTTGTTAACAACAACAACAACCCTGCCCACATATCAATCAAAGAACGGATTTCCTGTCCTGACATTGAACTGTGCACTGCTGTACTCCGGCTGTATTATTTGCCCAGGGAATTTACCCAAGCAATGTTGGTGGCTGTTTACGTTCCTTCCTCTGCTAACTCCACAGCTGCATGCGACACTAGAAGGTGCTTTATAAATAAAATGTATTATTATGATTATGATGATAATGATGATGTTTATTATTGTTACTATCCACTCTATTATTACTACCCACTCTGATATAGTACCGGGCTATGGTTGACTCCTTTGTCAATGTGGCAAAGACCAAGGAATTGATTGTGACTTTAGGAAAACCAGGAAAACCTTGACCCCTGTTTCAATCCAGGGGTCAATATGGCCATTGTGGAGGACTATGAATACCTCAGAGTATACATAGACAATAAATTGCACTTTAAAAAACACCACTCCACTTTATAGGAAGGACCAGAGTTGTCTCTATTTTCTGAGGTCCTTCAACATCTGTCAGACGATGCTCAGGATTTTCTATGAGTCTTTTGTGGTCAGTGCTATCCTCTATGCTGTTGCATGCTGGGGCAGCAGGTTAAGGGTTGCTGATGCCAACAGACTAAATAAACTGATCCGCAAAGCCAGTAATGTTGTGGGGATGGAGCTGGACTCATTTAGGGTGGTGTCTAACAGGTAGATGTTGTCCAAGATAAGGACAAAGCTGGACATTACCTCCCACCCACTCCATGATGTGCTGGCTAGTCAGAGAGCACATTCAGTGAGACCGAGATGACCAAAAAGCACCACTGAACGGCACAGGACATCTTTCCTGGCCATGGCCATCTCACTGTACACCTCCTCCATCTAATACACTGTAAACACTGCAATAGTTACAGCCTTTTTCACACGCTTTTATCTACTCTGTAATATTCTTCTCAATATGATATGCATGCATAAATATGATATTTATTTATAATCACCTCTGTTAAATGTTGATATTTTTAATCGAGTGATTTGTATATATCAGTTCTATTTCTTAAAGTTGTTAAATCTGTAACATTGTACATGTATTGTTTAAATAGTTTAGTCTGTCACTGTTACTGCCTTGAAGCAAGTGTAACCAACATAATTTCCATTAATAAAGTACTCTGTTTCTATTCTGATTGGTGGCCTAATGATTTTATCCTTGCTCTTTGCAGATGATGTGATTCTGTTGGCTTCATCATGTGACCTTCAGTTTGCACTGGAGCCGTTTGTGTTGTGTGTGAAAGTGGCAGAAATGAGAATTGGCACTTCCAATTCCAAGACCTACTGGGAGGACCACCAGGGCAGACCCAGTAGAGATGGAGGCAAAATGGTTAAGTTAAAGAGTTTTAGTAATCCTTCTATTAATAACTGAACTAAAAGAGACGGTTAAGCTGTTATCACCATTTGAAGAAACAAAACAAAACTCAGGTGTTGGTCAGTAAATGAAAAGTAAGTAAAAAAAGGATTAATCACCAAACATTCCTCCCCATCGAGCAGGAGCAACCAGTCACCACACACAGCTCAGTAGCTGCAAACACCAGCATGGCTCTCTGGAACTAGAGCTCACCTTTTTCTGGCCTTAAGTACTTCTAATTGCTGATGGGAGTCAGCTGAATAAAAAAGGTGGCACCTAAGGCAGGAGATATGGCCGGACACACGCACACAAGGGCAACTTCAGGAGGAGTTGCCCTTGTGTGGGTGTGGGCAGAAAATGGTAGATATTTTTGGTTACTTATTACTTAATATTATTATTACAGATTAAATTATTATTATTACATATTACAGATTAAAAAAATAACAATCTAGAACTACTTTTTCAATCTAGAAACACATTTTTTTAAAAATATTTTATCCATATAGATAAAGCTACACAGCAGCAGCTAAAATAATTATAAAGCCCTATGAAGCTACCATGTCCGTTGAGCAGAGGACGGCACTGCTGAAAATAGTATAGTATAAAAGAGTGTAGAGCTACCCCCGAATTTCCTGTGCTAGAGGACTTCCCATGATGCACAGAGCAATTCGGCGCTACTGCGTGCCACAAAATGTTGCCTTCTCATAGTTTGTGCCCTCCTTATCTCTATGTGCTCTTCTTTTTTATCTTCTATTTCCCCTCACTTGGAACAACAAAAGCAGATGGCTTCTGTTGAAGATCTGATCTTGTCTGTTTACTTTATGCTGAAGTGCTGCTTACAGAGGGCCACCATATGATTTTGGTTTTCCTTCCAAGGGTCTTTGCCTTACAATATAAGGTGAGGTGAAGCTTAATTGAATTGAAATCTGTCATATTACGTACTGTTCTGAATCAACGAGCCTAAAGTGAAAATGTGAAGTGGGGTAAAAAGCTCTACAACACCATATTCCATATTGGAAAGAAAGCCTTTTCATTTCATTTGATCACTTGAAGTTAGTATTTCAATTGCATAAAGACTAGGGTGTCTAAATTGAATCTAAGAATCTAACAATCAGCCATTAGAGGCACGAGCAAAACCAAAAGCACACAGAAAATATTGTGCACAAGGGATCACTCCAGAGAAACTCTGTTGTGGAGTTTCATAGAAGTTTATAAAAGTTTCACTTCCTCTCAGATACCATCACATGACGTCTGCAGCCCCATTTTACTAAAAAGTCAGTTCAGTCCAAACCAATCAGAGTATTGGTTTATGTGTGTACAAACCATGAAAACTGATGACTGATGTTTCCACTTAGCTGTCATGCAACATTCATGTTTCACAATCACCTGTAAAGTCATGATGTGACCGACAACAATCACTGCACCCAAACCACTGAAGCAAGAGGTTACATTTGGTTTTTAGCTCATGAAACCAACAAGAAACCTCGAACCTTATGACAGTTCTCAGAGCTGATCATTAAAGTGTCATTTTTAAGTGTGAAGGCTTAATATTGTGAATTTCAATATTGTGATCAAAATGTTTCTGCTTGAGTCATCCTGGACTTAATGAAAAAGTAAAAGCCAGAAGAAAATACCTGAAAGTGTACACCTCACTGAGAAACTGACCTGCAGTGAAGCCAAATGGGATCTGACAGGGCATTGGAAGTAAATGCTCTAAATGAGAAACGAGTGCAGGACATCTATAATTTCCATCTACAGCAACGTATCTAAGCCATAATACAACAACACATTTTTTTTTTTAAATTAAGTGATTTGTTGTTAAATTGCTGAAAATCTTTGCCTTCTCGTATCTGAAAATAATGCAACCATAAGAATCATAGCTGCATTTTTTCAAAACTGATATAATATTAATAAGATTTCATATAAAAGAAGAAATAAAACATCAAAAAATAAAGTTATTGTTCATCAGTCAATAGTCAACACCTAATATAGGTCATGGATAATACATTTCTGCTGCAGTTGTTTAAACTGGTGTCCATCATTTTCTGAAGAGTCTTTGCTTTCTGAGCCAAAGCCCCACATTATTAAACATTAATAATTCTTCTAGCATATTTCATCCTATGCACACTTCATATAAGGATTTACCTACTAACCTTAAGGTGAGTTTAACATGGTGAATAGGGAGTGAAACGTATGAAGTGCTGGCCAACCCCCAAGGTAACCCCAGCACACACCTTTGTTCAGACTCAATGCTGATCCATATATATATATATTATTCCTATATATCTAATAGGAATAAATAGGATAAATAGTGTACTGGCAGATTTCTCTATTCATGTATTAATCACATATTTTAACCATATCACTTTAGTAATGGTAATGGTAATATCACTGCCAGAAGCAGTGAATGCAACACTACATATCATGGCACCTGAAGTTCTAATCCTCACACCACATTTTTGCACAAGGAAACGATTTTTTGTGTGTCTGATTTATCAGGCTTTTGTGTTTTTTTTTTTGTGTGTGAAGGAAACTGTGGTTTTACTTGTTGGTTATGCAATCACATTGTATTGTTGAAAAATATGTATACAATGTGAAACATATACGGTGTTAAAATCAGTATCACTCTTTTCAAAGACAAGGAGAGTTGATCACATGATTTACAGCAGCACCTCTTGCATCTGTTGATCCAGGCTGGACCTCCAGGATGCTCCACTGGGAAATGCTGTTTTTTCTCTAAGGGTCTTTGTGGAGGATTTGGCATCACACAGAGAGACATGAGTGAAAAAAGCAGGATGTGCAGTGGTTACAGAATATCTTAGTGTTGGGCTCATTATCGTATTACTGTTCATCTCAAGCTATTGAGCTTGTAGTGTTAAAACAACTAAGTGAAATTACTTAAGAACAGTCATTGGTTACAGTAGTTTTGCGTAAACAGATGGGATGATCCATGATTTGGGCAAATTATGGCAACAGTGCTAGATCCCTTATTACTCTTCTGACCCACAGTTGCTTGCAATGGCCAGAGGGGCCGATGGCGCGATATGGCAGCCTCCCTTCTGTCAGTCTGCCCCAGGGCAGCTGTGGCTACAACTGTAGCTGCCTCCACCAGTGTATGAATGTGAGAGTGAATGAATAGTGGTATTGTAAAGCGCTTTGGGTGCCTTGAAAAGCGCTATATAAATCCAATCCATTATTATTATTATTAAATGTGAAGTTCATATTAACTCAGGTTTTTTTTTTCTAGGCAGTTGCGGTATGGGTGCAGGCTCCGGGTGGAGCCAGGAGTTAATATAAAGCACCTTGAGGCGCTAGTCTTGATCATTTATACAATTATACTTTAAAAAACAATGAAATAACAGTCACACAGAAACAAAAGTCAATTACTTGCAACTAAATTAGTATTATGAGATGATGTTTTGAAGAAAAAGGAAGTGATCAAATGGTACTGCTTTCCATATACGTAACAAATAAGAAGAAGTTAAGCCATAATTGTCAGGAACTGTTGAGAATTATAGGTTATCAAGGAAGTGAAACCTGAACTTGCATCTTATTATTTTTCTAAAAATGGCAACCAGAGTGTGCAGCAGTAGGTCAGAGGGTTCTCGAAACGTCTACCGCTCCACCATCGAGAGCGTTCTGACTTACTGCTGCACACTCTGTTTCAACTACTGCACCGCGGAGGACAAGAGGAAACTACACGTGGGTGGGCAATTGGCACCATACTAACTCCCCTCAGAGACATTTATACTGGCAGACTTCAGCAGAAAGCCAGCATCATCATCAAAGACCCCTCGCACCCTGGACATTTGCAAAATAAAATTCAATATTTAGTATTTACTGTTATTTATGCTTAGCTAGATTATTGCAATGGTGTTGTGTTTATTATGTTGCTCTCTTTTTTGCTTGTTTTCTCTTTTTATTCTTCTCTCAACAGGTGATCCAGGTGATTTTTTTTAAGTGCCATTTCTCACTGTCCCTCTTCCCCTCTGTTTTTCTTTCTCTTTCTTTCCTTCTTTCTTTCTTTCTTTCTTTCTTTCTTTCTTTCTTTCTTTCTTTCTTTCTTTCTTTCTTTCTTTCTTTCTTTCTTTCTTTCTTTCTTTCTCCCAGTCATGTCTGTAACAAATGAAAATAAAACCAAGGTCAATCAAATGGACCAATATGGCAAGACTGCGATGATCCACTAGGTAAAGTAAATCCGTTGGGCATCTTTCTTGGCCTTCCGGACAGTAATTCTGATGGCTAAAGAACCAAACGGGACAGGCAAAAAAGAAGAGAGAATTAAATCATCTTAAAGTAAATCCGTTGGGCATCTTTCTTGGCCTTCCCGACAGTAATTCTGATGGCTAAAGAACCAAACGGGACAGGCAAAAAAGAAGAGAGAATTAAATCATCTTATAGGCAACACGGTCCATTGAGGGAAAGTCAGTGGAATCCGTTCAGTCTTTTAAATATTGCGGAAGAATTCATGATTCAAATCTGAACTTTAAAAACTAGCATCTGTCATATTTAAGGAAACTTTCATTTCTACACTGATAAAAATATGAGTATTCTATTTTATTATGCTTTTATTGAATGTGTTTTGTCCTTTCCCCTGGTATCAGAGCTCGGATACTGACAGTAGTGGCCAGAAGTTTACATACGCTCATCACTGACATGAATGTCAGTGGTAAATTTGGTCTTTTAGTTATTTATTTGAATTGTTTTTTAAGTTATTCTTTAAGTTAAATTATTCAGATGTGTCACCACTTTCTCGAGGTCTGAGAATACCTAATCTGTCACCCTCATATGAGAGGAAATTGGTTTGGATGATTACACCAGGAATCCTCACACAATAACATGCATGCAGAGTGACATGTCAAAGATCATATTCAAGAGACAACCAGCACATGTAAGATTTCATTTATAATACATGATGTGAATCATATTATGCCATTTCTAAAAGATTTGATGAAAGCCCACAATGTAAATAGCTGACCTGACTGGCTACCTCCCTGGAATTTTTAAGGCAGAGGTAACAATGTTTAAAACAATAACAATAATAATATTTATATTTATAACAAGGTGCAATAATAATTAATGTGCAATAATAACAGTGTGCAATACAAATACACTTATTCTTCTTTTTTATACTAAGTTAATATACTGTGTTGTGTTGTTTGTTGCGTTGTGATGTGTCATATCGTGTCGTGTTGTGTTATATGTAGTGCCGACGTAGGACAGTTTTTCCAATTTCATTGTACTACTGTACTATGTATGACTGTGCAATGACAATAAAGAGTTATCTTATCTTATCTTATCAGTGTAGAAAAACATCTTAGAAGATGTGGACAGGGTTCTGCGTAAGAGAGACTCAGCAGGCTTCCTAGCAAACTGTTTCCTCTATTTCCATCTATAACCTGAAACGTGTTTCTTGGTATATCCTGTGCTAAGCTTAAACAACATCACACACTGTTTGATCCAAACAGCATGTACTACATAGTGATGTTGCACTACTCCTGACAGTTTCAGGAGCTAGGGGTGGGATATAAACACCTTTATCAGCAGGAGACAGAAGTGCATCATTGGCCATCCAGGTAAAAAGCAGATTATGGAGTCATGCATGAAATGCATGAGCAATTCATAAGAGTTCACTATGGGGGCCCCACAGGGAACGGTTCTGGCACCGTTCCTCTTTACCATCTACACTGCAGACTTCTTCTACAACTCCACCCAGTGCTTCCTGCAGAAGTTCTCTGATGACTCTGCAATAGTTGGCCTGATCACTGATGGGGACGGCAGGGAGTACAGACGACTGACCCAAGGCTTTGTGGACTGGTGCCTGCAGAACTACCTCCAGATCAAGACCAGTAAAACCAAGGAGCTGGTGGTAGACTTCTGCAGGCACAAACGTCCTCCACTGCAACCACTGAACATCCAAGGTATTGATATTGAGACTGTGGACAGCTAGAGGTACCTTGGTGTTCATCTGAACAATAAACTGGACTGGACTCATAATTCAGACGCCCTATGCAGGAAAGTGCAGAGCAGGCTGTACCTGCTGCGGAGGCTCAGGTCTTTTGGAGTGAAGGGCCGACTCCTGAAGACCTTCTATGACTCTGTGGTGGCCTCAGCCATCTTTTACAGTGTGGTCTGCTGGGGGGCAGCATTTCTGCTGGGGACTGGAAGAGACTGAACAGGCTGATCAGAAGGGCCAGCTCTGTTCTAGGATGCCCTCTGGATGCAGTGGAGGTGGTGAGTGACAGGAGAATGGTGCCTAAGCTGTCATCCCTGTTGGACAATATCTCCCACCCCATGCAGGAGACTCTGAGAGCACTGAGCAGCTCCTTCAGTGGCAGCTGTGGCACCCACAATGTGGGATGGAGAGATTTTGCAGGTCTTTCCTCCCCACTGCTGTCAGACTCCACAACAAAGACTTCAACTGATCAAACACACACATCCACACATGTGCAATAGCAATGCAATGTAAACTCAAAGAGCCACTCATTACAACCAGGTTATACAGAAGAGCATCTCTAAGTGCACAATACCTCAAAAAAAGCAAACAAAGCTTCAAATGACGCGTCAACTATTAAATCAGTCGTCGATATTGATAGTCGACTAATCGTGGCAGCCCTATTGGTTATACTGAACTACATATCAATAGAAGCCCAACACCTAATATAGGTCATGGATAATGCATTAGTCTTTTCAGTTTCTGCTGTTGAAACTAGTAGTCATCATTTTCTGAGAGGAAGAGTCTCTGATTGATGAGTTATTTTCAGGTTGAGATTTTGACCAGGCCATCGCCACAGACCACAGGAAAATAAATAGACCTGTGAAGAGAGAGACATAGTTTGTCAGTTCTTCTATTAAATGATCAAAGTCCAGTTAATCCTTGACATGATGATCGCATACTAACCTTGAAGGGAGTTCAATACGGTGAATATGTAGATCCCAGCGAGTGAAACGTATGTAGTGCTGGCTAACCCCCAAGGTAACCCAAGGACACAGCTGAGGCCCAGCACTGTGACACAGTCCTTCCATAACCTCTTCTTTCTCTCTTTGTTTATCTTCTTCCAGTCACTGCTGCTTCCAAAGCTTCTATCACCCCTTCTTAGTTCCCACATCTTAAACACCACCAGCCCCAGCATGCAGGCATTGAACACAACCACCAAGAAAGGAAAGGCCACGGTAGTGATGTAGCTGACTACGAGGAGCTTTTGTTCAGACTCGTTGCTCATCCAGCACCTGCTCATTAATAAAGAAATTAAAAAAACAGCATGAATTTGCTAAGAAATAAAATCTCCTGGCTCACTCTAATATAAAATGATATCAAAGATAGTTTCTTACATGTGTTGTGTTAAATTGCTGTTGCTGTATTTCAGAGTGTATTTGCCATAAACACGTGAAATCCCACAAACAGCTGCAACCAGTGTAGGAAAACCTGAAAACATGGAAGACAGAATTAATGTCAGCTGAATGTTCTTTAGGACAGCGTGAGGCATTATTATCACTGTTTCTCTACTTCTCAATGCTGCTGCAACACTTCAACCAATCCACTTTCATTTAAAGATTTGTGACAGTGTATTGCAGAGCAGCGCCCACCTCCAAACAAAAATGCACCTTCAATTCACATCACCTCAGTAAGACCATGTGAAAGTTAAGACAAATCATCCTAGGTGAACTTAAACACCTTTGTTCCCCTTTTGTTAAGACATAGAAAAACGCACCAGACAAACATACTGCAAAAGGAAATGGTCGCCTTAAATGCATATATTGTATAAACTCAAAATGCGCATTTCACTTAAGAATTAAGATGTGAAAATGTGATCAGATCAACTTGTTAGATATTCATTTCCTATTGAAAAAAACAAACAAAACAGAAATAAATAAGTCTTCTCATCAGATATTGATGCTTCTTTCCTGTATGACACAAAAAATAGGAGACAGATGTTTGTTTGTTTTTTAAGTTAATTCCTAATAAAACTAACTGTAAGATGTTTAACTACATTGCTGTTTGCATTATTGCTGAAGTCCTAAATGATCACCTTTAAAGTGTTTGTGCTAATAACATCATGTACAGTCAGACAGGCATGGAGAACAGCACTGACTGCAAGAGGCTTTGAATAGATCACATAGTTCAATTCAATATATAAGACTTTAAGAACCCACAAGCATCTACTTCCAATTTTTTATTTAATCTATCATCTATGATATTATCACGTACAATTCTAATGCATTGTGGCGAGCTCAGACAAGGAGGAGACAAAGGGATCGTTTGGTCTTGCTTCCCACAGAGTTAGCCAGGGAGCACAGCCGTTTATTAGCATTCAACAGGAAACACAACGCTGCTAACTCAACTGCTCGGTGTAGCTCTAGCATAACAACAACCACAAGAAAAAGGCGCTCTCTCCACCCAGAAACACACAGTCACAGAGAGAGAGAGCATCACCTGTAACCATGGCAACATAACGCTGCCGCCTGGAACAACAAAACATAGCTGTCAAACCCCAAACAGCCCTGACCCGCTACAGTATTTTGTTCATCTCCCTTAAATAAACAGGCAGCCTTAAAGTATGAAATATTCATTTATAAAAACACATATAAATGTATCTACTGTCTCAGTGGCTGAGACAGTAGATACAGGCCTTATTGTGGCCTCATTGTGAGCTTGAAGACATTTATAATGTTTAAGTAGTTTAATGTGTAGGTGCTGACGATAATCACATTGTGAATGAAAGCCGGGGAACTTTGGTAGCACGGAAACAAGTGGCTATTCTTTGTGACCGAATGGATCGGTCCCTCATATTATCATTATTTCACCCAAAGGCACTAAGTTAATACTTAGTGCCTGCAGAAATACATAGAAATATAAACAGTACTTGGTGACAACTTTGCTTTTAGCCTTTAACCCTCTGGGGTCCAGGGTATAACTGGCCATTTTTGACTACTTTTTATTTGGCGTCTATATTTCACCTTTAAAAACTGTTTATCTTGCCCATCTGTTATGTTCTCATTTTGACATACTGTATAAGCACAACTGATCTAAATTCAGACTTGAAATGCAAATAGAAATTGTACATTTAAAAAAAATATGCACAAGTTTTGCAAACAACAAAGTTATATGGTACTATTTACACCCAAAAATGCAACCAAGGCTCAGACGTTTTTATATAACCATTTAAAACTACTTACAGAACAGTAAGGTGTTCTGCACCAAATAGGAAGGCACACAAATTCTTTATGCAACTCCAAAATATAATTTGTATCCACTAAGACAGAGGAGAACAGCACAGGGATAAACCTGCAGGTCTGACAGCAGGTGTGTCACTCCTGTTTTCCACCTGGAGACAGCGTTTACACTGCGATCTGCCTTTTGTGGCTTTTTTGCAGCAACTGTGACATTCTCTAGTAGAAGTGACTCACAAAACAAAACAACGACTACACTACACACTAACTACACAAGATAACACACTAACGTGAGACTCCAAACATGGTAAACGTCACAAATCTATCACGTATCTATCAAAACTCACTTTCTCTTTCTTTCGCTCACTTGCTCTCTCTCACTGGTGTCACTCCTAAAACTTCCCCCTCTTCCTAAACAACCAAATGCCAAATTTTTTGATTGGTCAAAATGGTACATTTTTTCACCAATAGGGAAGGAGTATTTTTTCTTTTCCTTTTTTTTACTCCCAGGCTGAGAGTGATTGCTAGTGCTGTTTGTTCCCCCTGCAAACACCACTGTTTTATTAAAAAAAAAAACATTGCGTGTATTTTTTATCATACCTCTGGTTTTACATGGCCGATCAACACAATTTAAAAACTGGTGTATAGTTTGAAGTCCGCACTTTCGACCCAAATTGAAATTTTGTTTTTACATTTTGCAACTCATTTTATTTCTCTATCTGATAAGAAAACTATTCAATCAGAATGTTATTTGTGGTGATGACATACAGTTACACTTTCAAGCACTTTTAAGCACCACATCTGAAATTCAAGCACTTTTCAAACCTTGAAAAGACAATATTAAAATTCTATCATTTTCAAGGATTTCAAGCACCTGTATGAACCCTGTCCTTAAAATTTTGTGCCCCATGCTGACTGCACAGGTGATCTTACCAACAGCTGTTGATTCTAAACAACAGAATAAATTAGAATGACTAAAGCTGAACAATATACGATCGTCCATATCAGATCGTCTGTTTCACAGTATTATTATCTGAACTTAAAACACATCTCTCTTAGACAGGCTTTTCAGTTAAGGCCTAATTTATAACAGTGTCATTTAATTACTTTTAAAATACATACAAGACATTTCATGATTCGTGATTTTTTTTAAAGTAGTTTTGTACCTATTTGCCCTAGTGTTTGGTCAGTGTCTGTTGTGCTTAAATACAGTAGGTTATGCAAATAAGGCGAATTTACTTGACATCACAATACATCACAATAAAGGGTTTAAGCCTTTATTGTGATGTAACACTTCAACGCAATCCACTTTCATTTAAAGATTTGTGACAGTGTATTGCAGAGCAGCGTTCCACCTAAACGACACTCACCCCATCCAATCAGGCTGAGTTTGAGCAGGTACCTCCTCACATAGATGTTGAAGACCCGGATGAGCAGAAGGTAGAGGTGGAACCCCTCCAGAGCACTCCAGGTCATGGTGGCCAGCAGGGACCAGTGTAAAACCAGACCCAGTACCAGGCAAGATGAGCTGTCCTCTTTTTCCTTCAGTAGTTGGGCCAGGAGGCTGGACAGCAGGAAGGTGAGATGGAGGCAGAACATCGCCACTGTTAGCTGCATGTGCAGACTTATGGATTTCTCAGGATGCCGCCGACTAAAACAGAAACAAAATTATTCTCTTGTTGCCAACTGTGGAGATAGTGGACATTATCTTGCCTTTTTAGATGTGAGATGATGGTAATAACTCCACACTAATGCAGCAGATAAAACAATATGTAAGAAAGGCCATGAGGCGGTAGCCTCACTTCTCTAATGGTCTCTTAACTAGATGTAGCCACAAAGTTCACTTAATACCACACTTTAAGTAGCAGTCGCCTCATTTGCATCATATAATGTTAGAAATGTAACAGAATATGGGTTGAACTGAAATGGGAAAATCAACAAATTCATTAAACAAACAAATTACAAAGACAAACATGACAAAATCACTCTCAGGCAGATATATTAATGTACACAACATTTCTTTAATTAATTACTTTACAAATTTCATTCACAATCACATGTTTTTTTTTCTACCATTAATATTATTGAGTTTGTTTTCTTAATGTTCAGGTTTTTTTTATTGCATTTCCAGGCCCTCGTAGCAGTGTTTCTTTGAGGCTACTTGATAGAAGATGTCTCTGGGGAAGTGACTACATTTTGTTTATACCAGCATCAACATGTTGAAAAAAAATAGTTCCCAAAATGTAAGCAGCAACTGAGCTTTTGTGACGCAATCTCTACAACCTCACACGCTCATCATTCTTTGCAGAGACAACTGTTAAAGGAAGAGGGATGTTTCTTTATACAGGGAACCCTGACAAAAGTTAGCAAATACATCTGTAGCAAAAGTTCGACCCTTTAGTTCATAAACAGCACAGTAGGAACTCACAGTATTTGTGTCCTCAGAGGTTTTTGCCACAAACCAGACTCAGATACAGTGGGGCAAAAAAGTATTTAGTCAGCCACCGATTGTGCAAGTTCCCCCACCTAAAATGATGACAGAGGTCAGTAATTTGCACCAGAGGTACACTTCAACTGTGAGAGACAGAATGTGAAAAAAAATCCATGAATCCACATGGTAGGATTTGTAAAGAATTTATTCGTAAATCAGGGTGGAAAATAAGTATTTGGTCAATAACAAAAATCACTATGCAGATCTTCTCGAGAGCAGTGATGTTTTGGGGCTGTCGCCGAGCAACACGGACTTTCAACTCCCGCCACAGATTTTCTATGGGGTTGAGGTCTGGAGACTGGCTAGGCCACTCCAGGACTTTCAAATGCTTCTTACGGAGCCACTCCTTTGTTGCCGGGCGGTGTGTTTTGGATCATTGTCATGTTGGAAGACCCAGCCTCGTTTCATCTTCAAAGTTCTCACTGATGGAAGGAGGTTTTGGCTCAAAATCTCACGATACATGGCCCCATTCATTCTGTCCTTAACACGGATCAGTCGTCCTGTCCCCTTGGCAGAAAAACAGCCCCATAGCATGATGTTTCCACCCCCATGCTTCACAGTAGGTATGGTGTTCTTGGGATGCAACTCAGTATTCTTCTTCCTCCAAACACGACGAGTTGAGTTTATACCAAAAAGTTCTACTTTGGTTTCATCTGACCACATGACATTCTCCCAATCCTCTGCTGTATCATCCATGTGCTCTCTGGCAAACTTCAGACGGGCCTGGACATGCACTGGCTTCAGCAGCGGAACACGTCTGGCACTGCGGGATTTGATTCCCTGCCGTTGTAGTGTGTTACTGATGGTGACCTTTGTTACTTTGGTCCCAGCTCTCTGCAGGTCATTCACCAGGTCCCCCCGTGTGGTTCTGGGATCTTTGCTCACCGTTCTCATGATCATTTTGACCCCACGGGATGAGATCTTGCGTGGAGCCCCAGATCGAGGGAGATTATCAGTGGTCTTGTATGTCTTCCATTTTCTGATGATTGCTCCCACAGTTGATTTTTTCACACCAAGCTGCTTGCCTATTGTAGATTCACTCTTCCCAGTCTGGTGCAGGTCTACAATACTTTTCCTGGTGTCCTTCGAAAGCTCTTTGGTCTTGGCCATGGCGGAGTTTGGAGTCTGACTGTTTGAGGCTGTGGACAGGTGTCTTTTATACAGATGATGAGTTCAAACAGGTGCCATTCATACAGGTAACGAGTGGGGGACAGAAAAGCTTCTTACAGAAGACGTTACAGGTCTGTGAGAGCCAGAGATTTTCCTTGTTTGAGGTGACCAAATACTTATTTTCCACCCTGATTTACAATAAATTCTTTACAAATCCTACCATGTGGATTCATGGATTTTTTTTTCACATTCTGTCTCTCACAGTTGAAGTGTACCTCTGGTGCAAATTACTGACCTCTGTCATCATTTTAAGTGGGGGAACTTGCACAATCGGTGGCTGACTAAATACTTTTTTGCCCCACTGTATACTCTGTCAGAGTATTACAGGCTATTAGTAAGTTCTTTGGTGATGCAGAGTATGAGTGCATTCTATTTTATTTTATGTAATTACATTGCTGTGGAGACACACATAGGAGAGTTAGTCTGAGTCAAGAGTTTCTTCTTTCCCTACAGAGCTCTACAGATACCAGCTGTTTATGTAAATGGAAGCAGTGTAATACTGCAAACATCAGGATATGTACTGCTGCAGTGGAACTGTGGATAAATTCACTCCATGTATTCTATTTGCCAAACAACAACAGTTGTTTTATACAGCAGTGTTTAATCATCCACAAGTCAACATGTCAGCTACTCCTCAGATAATCGCTGACCTAATGCACAAACTGGACTCTATTTGCTCCATTTGCTAAATTCCTCCTTGTGAGACTTTAATTGTTGCAATTTAAAGAAGACTCTGCAGTTAGCAGAAGGTACAGCTATGACTTCATTTCATCAGAGTACTCGGGAAGACCAAAGTGAGTCAAAAACAGGTCATGACTTTTTACAGAAAGTACTGTATCACATTGTGCAGAAACTACGGCCTCTCTACAGGACTTACTCAATTTAGCAGGGTTGAGTAAATAATCTTGGTCTCACTTTTGACCTGTTGCCACCTGAGAAACAGCGTCAAAAGCAGTTTACTTCTCAGTGCCATAACAACATTGAACCTCAAGATATACTGCCCCCCTCGATTCCCCTAGTACCACCACCTTTTCCCACTCCTCTTCTTCCTGTAATAAGTTGTCTTCTGTATGATATCATAGCCAAAACTAATGTTGTGAAAAAACGGGAAATACTTGCACCATCATGCTACTCCATTACATTTTATTAAATGTATGTATATTAACTGTATGGGTTCCCTTTGCTTGTCTTTGCCTGAAGGGCCGCCATGCACCAGGTGTTATGCAAAGCTAGTTATCCCTGACAGAATTAGTTTCTCCCCCGTTGGGAGCGCAGGAGACACAAATGCTGTAGGAGATAACTACCTTGGCACAACAGGTGTCAAAACACTGACAGCAGCCCATTTGTTCATTTTTTAAATACTGCCACTGGATTGTTCAATCAACTTTCTTAATGCGACCGGCTCCCCTCTACCTTCTCACGCACCTTGTGAAAAAGTTTAGTGTGGAAGAAGTGGTGAAAAGGTGGAGCTGGAAAGCTGAGAGAAAACAATAAAAAAAACTAAACTAAACATAAATGCAGCAAAATGTGTCAAAGTAACGGCATGTAAGCCGTCGGGGTTGCCTGACTGTGAACCAGCAACAAATAGTAACCAATCCTTACAGGTTGCTGGTGCTGCTGCTAACACCAGCTGTGGAGAAGTGAGGAAGCAATGGAGGAATGTGAAATGAAAAAATGTTTTTTTCATACTAGTGAATCTTTCTCAGAATCATTTTGTCATGTCACTAGAACAGGCTGAAACCATCTTGAAAATGGTGAATAGGACAGCTGCTGGCCCCCGATGCCATCTAGCTCAGTGAGGATTTTTCTACAATCGTACAGAGATGTGTAGAGGGTGGAAACATAACCAGCATACAGAACAAATGAAATGTAACTGATGTGAAGTCATTTAGAAAAAAAACATATTAATCACAATACTAAAAAAAAGATGCAAGAAAACTAAATGAGTTAAGATCAGCTGTATTTACACATCTTGTGATAAAAAAAAAACTGATGAGGTTGTGTCCTCAACTGATGACAGATTAGAGCCACTGCTGTTTGCTTATAAAGTAAGCACTGATATAGATGATGATAAGTTCATTGTTCTAGATCATACAGCATATAAGCATCTTCTGCTTTTGATAAGGTGCAGCCCCATGTACTGATGGACTGACTGGCCTCTGAAATTATTTTACTTGATCAGATTTTAATGTTACATTTGAATTTTGTAACTGAGAAACTTGAATGGGATTTCTGTAAAATGTCCAACCCTCTCAAACCTATCAAACTCCAGCTCTCCTGAGGGCTGTGTTTTTTCTCCTCTGGTTTTTATCATGTACACAGACAGCTCCTAGACTTGAAGTTTCCTGATAACACTGCACTGCTGCCTCCTCTTCAGACCTCACAGTCAGGTCTGGCTGATGCTTTGCCTGCATTTGTTAAATGTTTGGAATGACGATTTCCTTAAACTTAACGTGACTAAGAGTGGGTCATTAATCACTGATTTAGGGGAAGACAGCTGGAGGCCAAAGGCTAGTATGAGCATCAGCCAGGTATAGAAGTCCAAATTGTGCATACTTTGTTTAAGAAGCAGTTGGAAACAACCTGGTACTTCCTTATTTTCTTCATCGTTTGAGATGCAAAATTCTTAAGAGTATCGGTTTGTTCTTATTTTTTCATCTCTTATTTTCATCTGCTCATGTTTGAGTGTGGGTGTTGTGGTCAGAGACCTTATCACTGAGCTGCTGTCACTAACGAACTGAATAGCTTTTATACAGTCTATTTTCTCCAGTTTCTCATTTGATCACAATTGGGAACTGAAAACTATAAAGTTTTAAATGTGAATAATATAACATCTACTCACTGTAGATAAATATAGATGAACAAACTGATCAGTGCGAAGGGGGCGGAGAGTCCTGATCCAATGTAAGTGATGTAGTTTAGTTTGTTGGCATCAGCTTTTGTCACCGATATTCCTGGATTCTGCAACATAAAAAGATGAAGTTGTTGTTTTGAAATGTATTTTACATAAGAAATTTGTTTTAGTAGTAGACCAAGATTTGTTAATTGATCAATTGCTAAATTTCCATGTTAAGATGGCACGACATTTTGGTGCAATACATGGTTGGGAATGTATCGGTTGGTTCACCCTTCATCACAACTATATGATGAGTTAATTATTTCTGTAAGTGATCCATGTGCTGGCAAAGCTTAAAATTAGAGTGACAGGTGTGCTGACCCATAGCCTTAAATTGTGATTTGATGCCATGGTGGCTCCCTCTATCTTTTATACAATCTATGTGTAACACACTAGTTTGCTCATAGAATAGAATAGGCCTTTATTGTTATTGTACATGCACAACGAAATTATGTGTACAGTGAACTTATAACTATAATTATAATTTAAATATCATAATTATCATCTTTGAGTGTGTTGCTGACATTTCAGTTCTGGTCATTTGGTTGTGGAAAGACTGGAACTAAATACGTGGCTATTTATACAGTATAAATTTGAGACAGCCTCTCAATTCAAATTGTTTATCAATATGTTGATCTAATTAAATATTAATTAGATAAACATGGTGTTTGCCAAAGGCTTTTATCATATGTAGGAAGAGATTTTCAGCTCACCACAAGCACAGCAAAGAAGCTCAGATGGTTGCAGCTGCAAATAAATTCATGTGCCGTGTAATTTGTGTCACAGCCTTCATTGCTCCAGTAACCTATAAAGAAAACATTTGGAGTAACTAAGTCATTTTATTTAGAAACAAAAACACTGAAGGTTGACATCTCCAGTAGTACCTGTTCCATCCTTTGCTGATGTTTCCTTCCAAAATACACACGTTCCACTTTCAACCTGGAATCAAAATGAACGGTAAACAGGTTGTTACATTTTCTATTTAAGATGTTCGTCCAACACTTTTGTCTTTTTACCTCTTTGTTGTGTTTGAAGGTTAACGTGATGGGTTGTGAGAGATTCTCGACTGCACGGTTTCCTGCCCGCACACATACGGCTGAGTCCCTAAATACTTTGCCATTTCTGCGATGAATTTGTGGTGTCCTACTTCTTTGGGGAGGACTCAGCTGAAAGGACGGCACATAACAGTTATGTTAGGGTGGGATTAATATGAAAAAATGTATCTCAAATCTCAAAAACTAATCTAGCCTTTAATCCTGGCAGAGGACTTGTAGTTAAATTTCAAGATATTTTTTTTTAAATGTTGGCTAGTTGTAGCTACAGTTTGTACAGCCACAAGCGCAGTGTTATGAACAAAGTATTTGCATTTTGAAGATTTCTTTTATATTTCTCGCACTTACATGTTTCAGACCATTAAACAAATTGTAATATTAGGTAAAGGTAGCCAAAGATTGTTGTTGTGAGTAGCCTTTTTATAGAACTGTAGTCAGAATGCATTACTTTTCTGAAATAAACATTTTAAAGTCTAATAAAGTTGTTTGTAGACTGGTTGAGGAATTTGTCATATAAGACAAATATAAGACAAACATTTTAGACTAAATTAAAGCAAACATTTGTCATTGTGGCCCTTAGTGAAAACAACTCTTTATTAAAGGAGCAACTTTTAATCATTTTTCATAATAAGCAACAGCTGATTGTGAAGAGACTCTGCTCGTGGGGATATTTAAGTTTTTTTTCTGTTGCTTTTAGCGTTACCAACCTTAAAATAACTGCTGTTTATTACAGAGGCCACCACCAGGGCATCCACCTCAGGCACATTTCCTATGCTTTCTTGTAGAGCTGCTGATGGGATGTGAACTCTATGTTCAAATGTAGGTCTCACATCAACCTAAAAAGCATACACGAAAACATAACTTTAAAAAATGTGTTGGTTGTCAGTAATTAGAGTTCATTAATACAAAAATACAGAAATTCAGATCAAATGTAACTTTTTCACTTCTAAAAAGCACTTCAGCTCCAAATGACCTCACCTCTTGAAGCGAGTCTACTTTGAGTTGTTTGATGCCTGTCATGGAGCGGCCTCTTGGCTTGCAGGTCATAATTCGATCCTCGTAACAACTACCAACAGATATTTAACATAGTTCAGATATATAAACATGCAAACAGGGATATAACTGAGGATAAAAAAGACAAACTAATGCAAAGAGATGAGAAGTAAGATCAATTATTTCATAGTGGACCTTTCTCTGCTATTTGGTTACTTCATTTGTTCATGGATATACATTTAATTAAAGGAGAAAAAATGAAACTGCAAGAATTTGAGATGAACAGAAATAGATTCTGTTGTATTTGGTTTAAGCATCCTTCAGTGCTTTTCAATTTGCACAAAATAACGCTGAGCTGTGAAAATCTGACAATAATTAAATAATAATGTCCATATTATCATAGTATCACATTCTACAGCTTTGTCAATTCCAAGCAGCTAACAAAATCCAAAAAGAAAAATAAGAAAGAAATATAAAAAGTACAGTAAATCATCCAAATAATGTTTCTAGATGAATCAAGTATGTAACAAGTTTAAATACACGCCAACATACACAATACACTTAAACAATAATACAAAATTATGGTTATTCCAAAGTGTTACACTGTGTTCTTGTTTGAAACAGCAGTATTTGTTACAATGAGTATATGTTAGAGGCTGTATACTAATACTCTAATGATTCTTATTTGATGATGAAGCCATGTAAAACCACTGAAAAGCAGCCACTGTTGAAAACAATTAACAAGTACTGACAGCATTTATTCATTCATGTAGGACAATTTATTTTTCACAAACAGGAATGCGACATGTACAGTAGAAGCTGCATTACCCTATCCATGACGGGTCACTGTCTCGGCATTCTTTAAGAACATTTTCACAAAAGTCTGTCAAAATAAAACACACAGAAAAGGAAAGACCAAAATTTGCATAATGAATACATTTAAACAAGACTGGAAGCTGATAAAACGTCTAAGTGGCATCTAACTCCAGAGACACATGAGAGACAAGATGTTATTTTATAAGTATTTGATCAGCACTTGATAAAATTGCAGGTAGTTTTGTGAAACTGGTTGACTTAGAGTCTTTAATAGCTATTGGTAACAAAGAAGCTGGGTAATTTTACTTTTTCAAGGATTCATGACTTTGAGATTCACTTCACAAGTATACTCCTTTCAACATAAGAGTGATAACATGGTAGGTTTACTCACCACCAGCTCGGGACATAGAAAAACAGAGGGTTGTTGTGATAAAAAGTGTAATCCACATTGCGTCTCACTCATCAACAGATATAGATCTGCTGTAAGAGGTCCAGAGGGTATTTTTCTGTCTGGTTGTGTTTGCTGAATGAAATCAAATGGGAGTTTCATATCTACATATATCACATGCTTTAACAGATCTATGGTTCACAGCTCAGAAAAGGAAATGACTCACATCAGGCAATTTCTTTCAGTGCTATCACAATAATCAAGTACTTTTAAGTACTAAAGAAGTGCTGATACTTACAGCTTGCTGAGGAAGTAAAACAGGAACTTGCGCCACACCAGTTCTACAGGTTGCAGCACACAGTAAAATAAAATGCAAATCTTTGAAAATAAAGTCTTTGTAGGTAACTGGACTGCTGTATTTTTCTATTCTTCCTGACCTGTTTCTCTTTACATAGTCTATTTCATTTCTAATCAGAATAGCTCATGTATTATTCCAAAAATTCCGTTAGTAGTGGTTTGCTTTAAACTTACCTTAGATCTAATGAGGTTTGGTGTGATGGACTTGTGGTATTACAGGTTTATCATTTTAAGTAGTGGCAAGGAAAGTTTTCTGTTCTTCCTCTGCTAGTGGGTAACCAGATCGACAAGAAGATGTGTCAGACACCTTCATAAAGACATGCACAAATTATTCAAAATTATATATCAGGTCTAAGAACTTCAACAGATGTCATGAAAAGTGTAGCACTCCACCCGTTATACTGAGTCTAAACCCTCTTACATCAGTTTAAACCCACTATTTTGGGTGTTGGATTAGTTATTGCATCAGATTCCACAATGGTTTTGGTATGGACAGGAATCAAGGAAACTAACCATAAACCCCTTGCCTGCAGGTTACACTTAAACACTAATGAAAGAATTGATCCCAGACAACTTAAGCACAAGAACAGAACATTTACTGTACTTTGGTGCAGCATAAAAATGTACAAAAACACACATTTTTTATAAATTCAAATGATATCACAGTTACTTTAGAAAATGAAATATCCATCCATCCATCCATTCGCTTCCGCTTATCCTTTTCAGGGTCGCGGGGGGCGCTGGAGCCTATCCCAGCTGTCATAGGGCGAGAGGCAGGGTACACCCTGGACAGGTCGCCAGTCTGTCGCAGGGCCAACACACAGGGACAGACAACCATTCGCACTCACATTCACACCTAGTGACAATTTGGATTATCCAATTAACCTATCCCCACAAGAAAATGAAAATGAAATAGATATTTTAAATTAAATAATACCTTATGAAATATTATTAAGGAACACAGAAGCAGGTTATCACATCTTGGTGGTGTTGTGCCAAAATGTGATTGACTGTCAAAAACTGATTTTCGGCCCCTAGTTAATGTGCCGCCACCGCCCCCCCCCCCCCCCCCCCCCCCCCCCCCCCCCCCCAAAAAAAAAACAACAACAACAAAAAAACAAAAACAAAAAACACTTGTTGGCCTATGCTATGTGAAATGTGTCAAATATATCCCTCATGAATGATATCAAGTCATCTTGAGCCACAAACAACATTCCTATCACAAGGTAGAAGCCACAATCAGTTTTTGGCAAAGTGCCTTTTAGTTTACTATCCAGTTAAAAAGTCTCGTTGACATTAAAAAATGCCTTTTTAAGAGTAATCTGGCGAAGAGGACAACAGAAATTGCAACAAATATAGCAAGAGTTCTATAAAGATATTTTAAGTGGCCAAAAAGTACTGGACTGGGTATGTATGTACAGTAACATACATGCAGTCATAAAGATATAAAGTCATAACTGTTATTTTATTTTTATTTTTATGCATAACCCCTTTGTAAATCCTGTTCACTAAAGTCCCTTGACCAATATAAGTAAAGACACTGCACATAAAAATGGAAACAAAGCGGCTCTGTCGGTGGCTCACCAGTCCACTGAATCCAGTTCTCGGCTCCTCCTGAGGACACCGCGCTGTCTGTGCTACAGCGCGCCAGCAAGTCACTTTACAGCTCTCCGACGGTCCATATCAGGGTCCGCTGATCAGACGAGTTGTCGCGACCAACCTTTAACCTTACCAGTTGCAGTTGAAAACACCTTTCTACACTGTGGTGCAACTCTCGGAAATGTCACCTCACACTGTTAACGTCTGGTCACACACAAACAAAGCCAAGTATGTCGCACGTGTTGAACTGACACCCGTGTGTTTCTCCGCTATATACGTTCTCTCCTTCTCAGTCTCCGCTCAAAACGAATATGCTACCTTCACACAACAAGTTGCATACGAGGGAATTATATTTTGTTATTCATATGATAGTTTTGTTGCTCTAATTAACTACATTTACCTTTGTGACGTATTAAAATGCATATTACATTTAGATTATATTTAGATCACATGGGTTTAACTGTGAATACCATATATCATTGTTGCATTCAACCCCATGGGAATTTTGAGTACTTACTCCGGAATTCTCATCTCTTACCTTATGCCCCTTTGGCCAAACCTCAGAGAACTATTAAAACAAAACTTTATATATATACATATATAATATATATATATATATATATATATATATATATATATATATATATATATATATATATATATATATATATATATATATATATATATATATATAACTGAGGTTGAGAAAAGAACTGAGGATTTAAACATGTAGAAGTTAAGAAAGTTGATTCCTCTAAAAAATGTCAAACTGAAAACAGACCACTGTTGCACCCTTTATTTGAAGTCTGGAATAAATGGTGCATTAAATGCTGTAATAATAAAAATTGAGTCTCTCTGGACCACACCAGGAAAGGAAGAAAAGTTAAATCTCCATAAGGAGTTCATTGCAATGGATCTATTTTACTCTTTTTCCGGATCTTTTCCAGATGTTAATATTAGTTCACTTGGTCAGCTTTGCAAAATCCACAGTTCGGTAAATTGTTTATCATATGCATGGTATTACATATCTCAATGAATTCTGAATAAATCAGTCAGACCGACTTATCACACTGATGACATCACTATATTATAAATCGGTCTTATAAAGAATTGTTATCTATTTGACAGGGGGTTGTCCAAAGGTCACTGGGCTATTGGTGCATGTGCTGAAATGAAAGCACAGTTAACCTAACATTAACCTGGATGGATACAGAGATATTTTTCACTAGCATATTACATTTTGAAGAAATGGTCTAATTCTTCAGTGTGTCGTGTGAGAAAGTATGAAAAGGGCAAAGTTAATCATGTGTTCAGGCCCATAGAAACTTAATAACACTTCAGTGGGGTGGTTGTGGTTCATGTGGTAGAGCAGATCAGCTACTGATTGGAAGGTTGGCGGTTTGATCCTTGGCTTCCCCAGTCTGCATGTCAAATATCCTTGGGCAAGATACTGACCCCAAGTTGCCCTCTGATATGTTAATTGGAGTGTGAATGTAGATTAGTTTGCACTTGAGCTTAGAAGTGCTTGGGTAAATGAGGCATGTTGTATAGAGTGCTTTATGTACTCCGGGAGAGTAGAAAAGCGCTATATGAGAATCAGTCCATTACCAATCTACCATATATCATGTACAACTTTATTCAGAAGCATACATCAGAATACTTTAATCTCTAAGGAAATTATGTGGGTTATAGTTGCTCCGAGACACTAACAGTAACAGACTAAAGTAATTAAATATGTTACAGAGTTTTTTTAAAAAAAAATTAAGAAATAGCTCTAATATATACAAATTGCTCAATTATACATATCAAGAATATTAGAGGTAAAATATATATGATTGACTAAACAGAAAAAATAAATAAACAGAATATAAACAGAAAAAAAATTAAATCATATAGACAATACAGACATACTATAAAGCAATAGTATTTAAAATTTCAGTGTGTTTTTAAATCTAACATAACAGAAGATTACATGTAGAGCAGAAATGGTAGAGAGTAACTCTAATCAGATTTGATTTCTGTAGTTCTCACAGGAGCTGAAGATGTCCGGTCCTCCTTAGCCCTCTTTCTCTGCTTCTTTGCTGACAGACAAATCCACAGGAAGATAAAGAAACCTTATCAAGAAAACCAGAGAAACAAATGAACAGATCAGACACAAAATGCCCAAATCACTTGCACACAGACACAAACCACTAAACTGACCTTGTGTGGAGTTGAGGATGCAGAAAAGGTAGAGAATGGGGTAGTTGATATATCCAGAACCCAGGAAGGCCAGGCCCCAGGTGGTACCCATCAGGCAAGTAAGACCAAACAATGTTAGGCCACTCTTACAGGATGCGTTAAGCCTCTCTCGGTCTCCCCACAATTTCCCCTTAGCTGTGGCTCCTGTCTTTAAGGTAGTCTGTAACACTTGTTTCATCTTACATATGCTAGAAGCCACTGCCATGAGAATGCCAGTGTTAAAGATAAAAACAAGGGTGAAATATACCAGGTTCAAGGAGTAGAAGAAGGTGTCGTCAGTGATCCAGCAGCTGTAAAACAGGCAGAGCTGTCAAAGTACAGTTTCAAAATCTGTGGCTGCATAGTCTGCCTACAGTCCAGCATACAAAGAACAGAAACAGTATAATTTCATAATGATATGAAACTTGGTTGTTGGTACTTTATGGTTTCAGCAGTACGCACTTCTTTGTAAGACAGATCTTACTTTAATAGGCAGGAACATCCTGTAAAGAACATTTTTTCCAGTGCGTTATTTAATTTATTTGCTATCCTGATTACAAACTACATAATGTTAGGCAGGTTTTTAAATATGTCTGTGTGGCATGAAAATTCTCACCGTGGCTACGTCTACACTAGCCTGGATAAATTTGAAAACGGGGTATACGTCTGTAAACGCTCCGCATCCACACTATCGCTTTCAGTCATTTTCACAGAGTTGTTCATCCACATTGAAACGGCCAAAAACGCTTACGTTCCAGTCCTGCGCTTGCATGAAACGCAAGACAATTTGCCCTGTCTCATTTCTGTCTGCCATTTATTTACTTTGCGGCTCTTTAAAACGTCACAGCAAAATATTTAGGAAAAGCACAGAGTTTTTTAAATGGACTAACAATGAGGTGGAGTTGTTGGTGCGAGTAACATAAAAGTACAAAGTTGCAAAAGCGAGCGTGAATTAAATAATTTGAAGAAAAGCTCTCTGGAGCTTGTACAAACTGATATTAATCTTTAATAGGGCTGTCAAAATCGAGAGCAAACAAAACAACTGCTGTATAATGCCCCCCGCTATCTTAGTCAGTCACATGACTGTATCACATGACTAAAATGTGTCATCGTTTTCGAAAAGGCTCCGGGTTCGTTGTCTACACTGCGACGTGAAAACTGCATTTTCAAATGTATCTGCTTTGGAGAGTGTTTTCAAAACGCTCCATTTGCCAGTGTGGATGGAAGGCCAAAACGTTTTCAAATAAAAACGTATTCATGTGGACATGGCCTGTGTCATGTGTAGCAGACAGGTTGCCCTGCAAACTCAGTCATGGTTTTGGATTCCTATTGCTAAAGGCGCATAGTGCTAGTTTATAGTCTTGCCAAAAGCAGGTTTACTTACATCGAACTAGTTTGGTTGGTGTCAGCCATGGTCATCTGTTTAACTCCATAAAACTGTTTGCAATCCATCACTCCTACAGAGACTGCCACCATTACAGCAGGAATACCTAAGAAGCACACAATAAGACACAGACACAGTTTAACACCAAGTTATTTACTATCCAAGAGGCACCCAGCATATGAAAGACTTCATTCATAAGTTTAGGGAAATCTGTCAGTCAAGTGAGTCAGAAGAAGTCAGACATATTTCTAAGAGATGTTGTTCAATTTTAACAGTGTTCATTAATCATACAGTGAATGTAGAAGGAAATCTCAAAAGGGGTGGCTACTAGGGCTGGTATTGATATTCTTTAAGCTGGCATACACTGTGCGATTTTTTTCAGTCGCGTTATTCAGCTTCTGCTCAAACTTCACAATTGACTCGGAGGTGTTACATCCCCCAGGAGGATGTCTCTTCTCCCTACTAACTCTTTGTTTTGTTTAGGCTCCACCTCCTCTGTCCTGATTGGATGCTGCTCAGAGTCCGGCTAATTGTTAATCAGCAGAGCACTACTTAAGGCCTGTGGAGCTGTGCTTCTGTGCCCTCTGGCCATTTTGGTTGCCATACCTGTACAGGCTTGCATGCCTTTGTGATTTGTATGTGCATTGTTGTTTTCATGTTCAGACTGCTTGTAGGGGAAAGCTGCCTTTTGTTTTGACATCCCGTTTTCTCCTGTTTATGTGTTGTTAGGTAGGTTATGGTTATAGGTTGTATATTTTGTTTCTTTGGAGTTAGGTAAGTTTCTTTTATTTTTACATCAGGGATGTTTTGTTTGTTATGTTGGCCTTGGCTCTCCCTGAAGTTATACCTCAGTCTGAACCCAAATCTCATCACCAGCATTAAATAAACCTTTTAAAGTTACTATCTTGGCTCCTCCTTCACTATCCACCTTTATGTTCGTCCCTTCAACCCCCTAGACTAGCCAGGGGACGTAATACAGGGGTTAATCGTTCGTAGTTCACGATGCAGGTTCAGACAGATTTCACAGCTGCTCTGTTCCCAAGTTCTACTGCGTGACTGACAGCCTTGAGTTTGAAATCCGCTTCATAATCATGTCTCTTAACAGGTGCCATTTGTGGTCCTTACACACACACAATACGGCAATATTACGTTGAAGCACAGTACGTATCACTCTGCGAGGCTCCTGACTACGGTAGCCATAATGCTCCGACAATTCCAGCAAGTGGTGCAGCAATGTAGCTTAACAAAGTCGTACTAAAACATTTTTGACAGATTTCTGAGTGCCGTGTACCACATAAAATCGGTCCGTGGTCAGTAAGCACAACCGGAATTCATAAATAAGGCACACTGTCGATTTTTGAGAAAATGAAAGGATTTTAGTGTAAGCTTATAGTCCGACAAATACGGTATACGAGTTTGGTAAGGTGGTTTGTTTTGGGGCAGGAGGCTGGGAGACTTTGCGGTCTACAGCACGCAGTTTCACACAGTCTTCATTTTGCACTTTATGGCGCTGTTGTAAATGGTGAAAATACTATTAGTCCTCCAGCCTTTAGTCGGGATTAGGAGTGGGTTTTGATTATCGATTTATTGATTAAAATCGATTCTAGCTTGGATAGCGTGATATCGATTCATTAAAATGCTGAATCAAATTTTAAATATACATTTATTTTGCCCGAAACGCCTGAATCTCAGGTTAAACATCAAAAAATTTCAACAACCACCAAACAGCTAAAACAGTAAACGACAGCAGGTACAAGGATTCTGCACAAAGATGTAAACACAAAACGCGGACCCACCGACTAATCAGAATCAGTGAGATGTCGCCTTTCTCACCTGACAGCACGGGCATGGACACGCCGAAAGCTTTGTGTTTACGTCCTTTTTGCGCTCGATTCTGATGCTGCAGGTTTTTATCTCTTCCAAACAATATTGACTGAACCAGCAGCAAAAGAAGATTGCTTCACATTTCGCTTCACATAAACATCGTCATGAATTCCCTCTGACTTTTGCTGTTTTGCTTCCACCATGATAAAATCATGCTTAGTGCAGAGCTCTCTCTCTCTCAGGAATTGTTTCCCGTCTAAAACGCTCTGTTTTCTGCATTATTCGCTTGCTTCGCTCTCTAATAAAATCTCTGTAACTTTGCTCTGCTTCACTTCAGTAGCATCAGTTAATGTTCATATGCTGATTAATGGTTTTCTTGCAAGAAGTTGATCGTTGTTTACGTGCCTCACCCTTCCTCCCTCCCTCCTTGTTCTCAATTCTTTAACTTCCTCATTTCTCTTTAGTGCATGGGGATCGGCCAGGCCTGGGAGCCATCGCCAGTCCCCTTCGAGGCCTTCCCCAAACCGCAGCTCAATTCGTGTCAAAGCATTCACTTTTACCTAACAGTACTTTGTCAAACCTAATATGAGGACGTGGGCCCAGCTAGTGAATTCAGTGAAGTAGAGAGGGGAGTCAGAGTAACGTAGCGTAGGCAAAAGTGGGAGAAAGAGAGGTAAACTTGCAGCTCCACAAGTATAATTATATCATAGCATAGACTATATCGATATAAACAATATTGTCACATCAAATATCTCTTATAAAAATATATCGATATATTTAAAAACTTGATATATCACCCAGCCCTAGTAGCTACCCATACTTTCACATTCAATAGTGATTGCAGCCATTGTCTACATGATCTCTGGTTCAGTGCAAGTTTCCTCATAAACCCTTTCCTCTTTTCTCATGTAGTAAATACCGTTGAAAATTTTGCAATACTCACCCCAACCCGCAAGTGAAAGTTTCAGTAGGTAGTGTTTGTAGTAGGTGTTAAACACCTTGATCAGCATTAGATAGAGGTGAAGTCCCTCTATGGCCATCCAGGTGAAACTGCAGAGCAAGGAGTAATGCATGAATGCTGCAACAAACACACACACGCCCTCTAGGTCCAGTGTAGCTCCCCACTCAGTCAGCAGGAAGGATGAATTGAGCAGAAACAAGGCCCCACTCAGGGATACGTGAATAGATAGTGAGTAGTCCAGTTTGTGGTTACTGAAGAGGAGACAAATAAAAAAAACAATCAGATATGTGAAGTCCACAGACAAGCACATTATTATGCATGCTAATTTTATGATACATACCGACTGAAAGCATACATCAAAAGAGACAAAGCAGTAAAGAAAGCTGACAGACCGCAGCCTATGTAACTGATGTATGACAATATTTTCCAGTGGACTGCTGCAATTTGACCTCTTATCTGCAAAAGTGATGAAAATTGTCTGTAGTTTACATATTTACTTTTACCAATATCTAAAAACATGTGAGAAAATTAAGAAATAGGGGATTTTCAGTCGCACCTAACCTCTGGAACCCATATTGAATAAAGATCTCTATAATTAGATTTATTTTCTTATATCTTAAAACTGAAAGCGGCTAAAAACAAGAAGTTCATCAGGAACAACTTACCAGAAGAACAGCAAACGGTGTAGTATGGTCACAATAGCACGCAATGTCCTGTTCATCTGATTGGTTGAAGCTTTGAGTCTCACATCCATCAGTTTTCCAGGGTGAGCCTAAAAAATAAGTAAAACTTTGTTCTTTGTACATGAACACTTTCCTATTTTAAGTGCAGTAATCTATACATCTGTGCCTTTTCATTACTGCTTTCTTAACTTCACTTAAGCATATGCAAAATTTTTAAAAGGCAAGAGATAGAATGTGGGGCAGGCCGCCAGTCCATCACAGGCCTAACTGAGGATGCACATCCACAGATGTGGATCCACACATCCACATCTAGAGACGAAATACAATACAATACAATACAACTTTTGTATAGTGCATTTAAAACCAGAGATACACCAAAGTGCTTCACAAAATCCAATAAAACAGTAGCAAAATACAAAAGCAGATAAGTTGGCAGGTGGGAGGCATTGATTAACCAAGCATACAAGTACGCAGATAAGTAAGTAAGACTTAAAGATAAAATCGATAAAACAATATGAGCAAAAGAGGAAAAGGGGAGGGCAAGAAAGTACACTTAAAAGGCATGCTCTAGGAAGCCGGGAAGACTAAACTAAAAAGGTGGGTTTTCAATCGAGACTTGAAGGTCTGGCTTTAGTCAGACGAGCGAATAGCATGAGGGAGGTTGTTCCAGAGGTTAGGTGCGACTGAAGCGAAATTGGTCAGATGATCTCAGTGTTCTACTGGGAATATACACACTGAGGAGATCAATAAAGTAGCTAGGTGCGATATTATTTACGGTTTTAGAGGTGAGCAGTAGGATTTTGAAATCAATGCGGTATTTAATTGGAAGCCAGTGGAAGCCAGAGAGAATTGGGGTGATAAACTTAAGCCTACCAGTACGAGTTAGAAGGCGAGCCGCGGCATTTTGGGCGAGTTTCAATCTATGAAGCAGGGCAGAACGGTGTGTTGGTGTGTTTGTAGTAGAAATTAGTGTAGTAGAAATGAGTGTACGAAGAGGCTAGAATACTGAATACAACCCCCCCCCCCAGGAAGAACATGCAGAAATAAAACAGGAAGCTCTCAACAAAAGATTAGATTAGAGGTTACAACGACTGCATCAAAATACAGTTATGCTTGTCTCTGCAGCAATGTTGCACTGTGTCTATTACACTACATGTCCTAATTCACGTACAAGGATCCATTTACTTACACCAAACCACAGGAGTTTTAAAACACCATGTTTATAAAGCCAATATAGCGTAAATAAATCAAGCCAGTAGTTAAAGATTCCCCAAATTGTCAGTTAACAAATAATTAGGTAAAAAAAATATTAATGTGTCCAATCTCATTACTTTGGTGTTCATCTTGAAGTAACCAATAAAACTGATATATACTTACCATTTCCATCAAATTCATCAAAATAGTGACAGACTAACTGTGAGTCATTCTGTAAAATTAGAAAAATGTTAATAATGCAAAGTCAATTAAGCTTCTTAAACAGAATAAAACTAGTAAAAGAAAAGTTCTATAAAACTTATGATGATGATGAAATCAAGTCACATCTTTTTTCCCCTTTTTATGAGTCAGAACATTTAGTGTTGCACAATTTAGTGGTTCAGTGTATGATTAGGCAACAGACACCGAGATCATCAGACACAGTGATCTCAGTTGCTCCCTTAATCACAAGGAGGAACTGCATGTTTGATCTGACAGACTGTTATGCTAGATGCCTTTACTGCCACAGCATCAAAGGGACTTTTGACATGTTGGACAAATATGTAAACCATTACACTGTGGAACCATAATCCGATTACAAATTTTCAATAACTAAAAGAATAAACATTTCCGTACAAACAGACTTACATCCAGTTGACCTTTGTCTGTTTTAACTCTAAAGGTCATCTTGATTGGAGAAGCCAGATTTCTGAGGCGCTCTTCCCCCAGCACCTCTATCCTGAGAACCACTGATAAAATCTTTTCCTGATCAAACTAACAAAGGAATGTACAGTAAGAGAGGAAATAAAGACCATTATTATATGGTATAAATACAAATGTTTTATGTACATAATTTGTTTTAAATGGGGATAATGCTCATGACTGAGAATATAAAAAAGTTCATCAAAACATATTGAAATAGTATAAAAGATTTAGGATATACTTGGAAATGGTCGTGATACATGAAGCTGACCAAGCCAATAATCCTCTTCTCCTCTGGGATGGTCTTTAGAGCATCGACAGGCAGCCAAATCTTAGGGATGAATGAATGGTTCTGAGGGTGCAGCTAACAGTGGATGGGGAAAAAAAGTCCATTTATATCCTTCTGCAGAACAATTTAAGGGTAGTTTTAATCAAGCATACAGTATAAGTAACTAGATCAAAGACAATACTTTTAAACAACCACTGTCATGCTATCTGAGTCCATATTATTCCCTTGTGTTTTTCATCAACATCTGGCTTGTGTACCTGGGGAGCTTCTATTTCCACTATGGAATTCACTGGGGCCTTGCTGATGTTGATCACATTCAGAGACAAGTACTGCTGGTTGTAGGTACTGGACAATGCAGCCTCAGTCTGGGTGTTATTTATGAGGGTATGGATGGCCTTTCTTTCTTCACTGCAGAAATAAAATCCACATGTTTGCAAATGAAAGAACATCTTCTGCAATCAGATTTATACATTTGCATTAAATGAACTAGCATTTGGCAGCCACAAATGCTAGTGTGACGTGAAGGCACGGAAATTTGTGCCAAGGTGACCCGACTGTCATTAAGATGTCTCAGTCTGACCCAAATTGATGGATCAACCATCCTGTGAGCAATTTTGGTCACAGGGCTAAAGATTAACAGTACTAAAGGGAAAAAATAGAACAACGGAAAAAAAAGACAAATACATGTGCCTACTCAACAGCATGTGCAGGAGTGCCTGCTGCAGGACTCCTACTTACTTTATAAAGGTCCACTTGAGTTTTTGATTATTATTGAAGAGGTCCAAACACGAGTTTCTTATGTTGAAGAGTGTTATCAAGTTTTTCTGTTTATAATCCAGTGAATCAATCAGTCGCAAGATGGAACTGTTCAGGCATGGGTACAGGTAGCAAGTGTGATCTGGAAAAGAGACACGAAAGAGATTAAGAAAAAGAGAGGACAAGTGGGAATGGCTGTGAATCAGCAGTTCGGCAGAACAATTTCTATCCTAATCAGACTAGATTTCAGCACACTTACATTTTCCCAGTTGATAAATTGTTCCATTTTCAGGTGTTGTTTCAGGCTTAACATCCAAGCAGTAAGACGTACCATTGAACCATGCCTTTTCTCCAGGGATGCATAGAAAGACGCAGGAAGTCTGACAGTGCATCTGACAGTCCACCGTACTTTGATGTTCAGTGATGCTTGCATTAGTTCCATTAATTTCAGTGGTGTAAGTAGAAATGGTGAGGCACACTGTGCACAGACACAGAAGACAAAAAAAAAGATGTAACTCACATAAACTTACACATGTTCAGTCAGGGTTAAGTTAAGAGCAACTATTCCAGAGAGACCAAGTAGTACACATATAGTGCTGTGAAAAAGTTTAAGCCCCCTCCCTGATTTCACAGTTTTTTTCATTTTTCAAGATTCAAAGTGTTTATTGTCATGTGTCCAAAGGGGGAAAAAGGCATTTCTCTGTGCAATGAATTTTTTTCTTTGCTGTCCACCCTCAGATGCCGGTTAACATAGACAACAGAAATAGAACAGATAAAATACAAATAGTACAAAAGTACAGAAAAGGAGACAAAATATTGAAGTGTGAAACAGAGATGTGCGCAAAAGAGCTATAGCTTAATATGTTGGCTTAATATGCAGCCTGATGTGCAAAAAATTATTATTACTGGTCAAAAATAGGTCAGCTGTTCAAGAGTCTGATGGCAATGGGGAAGAAAGAGTTGTTGAGTATAGATGTTCTGGATATCACACTTCTGAACCTCCATCCCAATGGCAGAAGTGTGAACAGCCCGTGTTGGGGGTGTGGGGGGTCTTTGGGGATGGAGGCAGCTCTCCTCTGGGCTCTGCGATGGTAAGTGCTCTGCAGTGACAGCAGTGATCTTCCAAGCAGTTGTTATCACTCTCTGCAGGTGTTTGCGGTCCATGGCAGTAGTGCTGCTGTACCATGCAGTGATGCAGCTTGTCAGTGTGCTCTCCACAATGCAGCTGCAGAACCTGCTGAGGATCTTGGCCGACATACCAAATTTCCTCAGCCTCCTCAGGAAATACAGGCGCTGCTGAGCCTTCTTGACCAGCTGTGTGGTGTTCAGTGTCCAGGTGAGGTACCTAAAGCTGCTCATCCTCTCCACTTCAAGGCCCCGGATAAACAACAGCTGGTGAGGCCAACAGAGGCTGGTGAGTGGCTGGTCACACCTAATGTGACCATATGTGAGAGGAGGCACATAGATTGATTGGTAAATAAGAGCATCGCTTTTATGCTCAGTTCTCCTTTTACCACAACAGATTGATACAGCATCCACATCATTGCAGCTGCAGCCCCAATCTGTCTCTCAATCTCCCGCTCCAATTTACTCATCAGTTCTGCAAAGAAAAAGGGCCAAAATTCCTCCACAGAGATGTGAAAAAACTGTTGCCAGTTAGAACAAATTTCCAGGCAAGTTATAGCAAAAACTGTAAATAGAGCTTGATTGCAGTTCTTGCTCCCTCCAAATCTCCTAGAACTTTAATGTTTTACATATGAACAAGTAGTACCGCATCACAGCAACAGTCGCCACAAGGTGCTATATATTGTAAGATTATAAAATAATAGAATTTTTCTTAATCGTGTGTTACAAATTATCTTTGTGGTTGGTATAACGACTTCATGTAAACATGAGGTCTTATACACGACAAGGCAGAAAAAATGGAAGAAAATATAAAATATGAGGTAAATTTAAAAAAATATTCCACAGAAATAAGTGGTGAGAACCAGAATTTTAAATCCAATTTGTATTTGTGTTATTTTTTGAAGACTGCACAAAAATGTTAGATAAATAAATAGATACATAAATAAATAATAAATAAATATAAATTCCTATGAGTGAGCAAACAAAACAGACATTCATACCTTGGTCAGCCAGTGATTCGTGCAGCAGTAGCAAAAGAAGTACGGTCAACATTATTTATCCTGTGAATATGTGGAATAAATTTAAAAGAAAATATAAAACAAAATGAATGTGTTTCAGAGAGTTTCAATCAGCTTTATTTAAAATCCATGTCAATAAACATTCATATATGAGGAAGGTAGTAGGAAGTAAGCTCGAATATGCATATTGGAAAGCATGTACTGATAACAATAATGCACTTGTCTGACTGTCTTCAAGTCCTTTAAAAAACATACAAATCTTTACCTACCCTCAAGTTCTCTCTCATTTTAAGTATCCATTGACCATTTTGAGCATTTTCTGACCCTTTGCAAGTAATTTCTGAAGGTTGATGCCAATCACTGGGAAAATAATTGCTAAAGCCTCAGTCATACAGGTGCAGCCAAATGTCAATGATCTATTTTTTTCCCTCAAGACCAGCTATAGTGATGCTGTGAAAAGTGCAACACAAACTAGAAATTGGGACCATTTGCCTTCATAGTAAAAGTTGCAGCTTTTGAAAGGTTTTAGCTACTGTCCAAGGGTCAGTCTTCTCCATTCCTGGTTTGCATTGCAGTCTTTCAAGATTTAGTAATGCTTGACTAGTAGTTAGCAAGTGTTTGCCGAAATACATTACAAAACTAATAAAGATGTTAAACATTTTTTCTAGCTAAAATTCACTTTTGAATGTATGTCTTTTTTGTATTTGATACAAAGCACACAAAGAAATAAATAATGAGAAAATAAAGAAAGACTTACCTTAACATTCAGTCAACATCTCTGAGGTGAGCACGATGGACCAGACAGTCACCAGTAATCTGCCTGAGTGACTATGTGTTTAATGTTTAAGAGGCGCTTCTGTGTGGTCTTTGGGAGGTATTTGTTTTAGGCAAATGTTCTTTATGGGGGCAATAATATGACTGCAGTTCTAAAAACTATTTTCAGTGGAGTTTGGAGTCTGACATCAGTCTTTTCTAAACTAGGTCTGTTAATAGAAATATTATGAAATATAACAAACAAGCAAAGCAAAAAAAATATCATTTTTTTTATTATTCACACTGACACTGTAGCTTTTATGAGTTAGCAATGCATTGAGCATGTTCAGATGTACAAACTGGCACAGAAAAGTTCAAAACATAAAATAACTAACACAATTTCTAATAATCTCAAAGCTGGATTATAAGGAAACATGCCGTAAATTCACAATGGTGTAATCAACATAACTATATCAAAATGTCTCAAAGCACTAAACCAGTGGAGGGTGAACTGCATTTAAAAGCAAGATCAGCTCTGTGTGCAATCGAAAAAAAGAGGACAGGTGACTTCAAGGGAAAAATATGAATAATCGATGATTGTCCTCTTGACAATCCAGTCGGACCTGGAATCTAGTCATTCTAGATTCTCTTCAGTATGGCAACTTTTACTCTCAAAAGTTTAAATAGGATGTTGTCATCCTATTTAAGCTTTATTTTGGAATGATAACCCCTTTTCCACAAAGATTTATATAAACAAGAAAGTTTCAAATAAAGCAGCAGAACTGTCAAAATCTTCATACTATTACATTTATTTTCATCATTTAGAATCAGCTCCTGCCAGTTATGGTAAATTGCCGTGCATATAAAATCCAGAAGTAAAACAAAATTGTTACTGTCAGATTTCAGCCCTATGTTGCATATTTCACCAGCACACCTTTTGGTATTTTTCCAGTTGTGTTTAATCTAGTTGCTTTTACTACGTGTTTCAATGCTCGTCTGTTTAGCAGAGTTTTGGGACTTTCTCACTGACATCACAAACCACAGGAAGATGAAGAAACCTGTGTGGCACAAAGAAGAGTGTGTTAGGCAAAGGATCAGAGTCCAGGAAGTGTGAGGAGTGTGCAATTAATTCAAATAAACTGATAAGTCAACTGTGTTAGGTTACTGTTCATTTATACACATGAAAAGTCAAAATCTACTGCATACAATAATGTATTTCGAAGTAATGTCTATGAAATGGATAGCATGTGCACTTTAACAAGTGGCCTTGTTGGAAAATTTTGTTCAGTTTCAAACAAACAAGCTTTATTCATCACAAACACAATCATACACAGAACAACATGCAATAATAACACTGATAATAATAATACTACTACTAATAATACATTTTATTTGGAAGCGCCTTTCAAGACACCCAAGGACACTTTACAATAAAATAGAACACATAATAGAACAATGACATAATGAAGAACAATAAAAACAAAAGCACAAGATAGAATAAACAAGCAATAGATTCACAGTGAATATGCAGATTTGAATATAGGAGTTTTAGTAGGGATTTCAACTGGGGGAGAGAATCAGTGTTTTTTATATCTGGGGGTAGAGAGTTCCACAGCCTGGGAGCATAGCAGCTAAAAGCTCTGCTTCCCATGGTGGTGAGACGGGAAGAATTAAATGTTTTGTGTCTGAGTTGCAGACAGGCTGCAGATGTAGCTGCGCCATTCCAGGGCTTGGTTTTCAATATGGGTGGTCTAGCCAGGACCCTTACTGGATACTGGGTGGGAATCAATAAGCTAATCCTCATTATTCCCTTTGACAGAAACACACATAGCAGCAGACTGTACAGACCTTGCAATGAGTTCAGGATGCAGAAGAGGTAGAGGCTAGGAGTGGTCAGCTCTCCAAATGAGAAGAAAGCCAGGCCCCAGGTAAGGCCAAGCAGTGCGACGACTCCCAACAGGCGACAAATACTTTTGATGACTTTGGTATGGATAATCTGCCCAAGCTGATTTACCAGAATGAAACATGACACAGCAGGTTAAAAAAAACACAGATGACCACAAAATGTTTTCAAAATTGCTTAAAATTGTGTTCTCCAGATGCACTTGTTCATTTATAGAGTCTGATTTTAATAGAAATGTTTTAAGCTTTAAAAACATATTTTAAAATATTACCAGTAAATAACTTTCTTCAGAATATTTAAAATTAGACAACCATTGCAATAACTTGGTTCACAATGGCAGGAATAGGTCAGACTTGTTCCCGGTCCGCGTTGGACCCAGGGCTGTCATTTTAGCACCAATTTTGTTCATAATTTCTATGGACAGGCATAGCCAAGTGCTGGAAGGCTTTCACATGGGTGATCTCAGAATTTCATCTCTGCTTTTCACAGATAATAGGGTTCTGTTGGCTTTATCGGGTGGTGGCCTCTAGCTTGCACTGGAGTGGTTCATAACCAACTGTGAAGCAGTAGGAATGAGAATCAGTAGCTCCAAGTCTGAGGCCATGCCCCTCAACCTGGAGTGCCCGCCCTGGGTTACAGATGAGATAATTAGTGAAGTAAAGAAGTTATATTATATTTCGAGTTCTTGTTTTCAATTGAGAATTGTGGGACAGTCGACAGATGGATTAGTGCTGCAGCAGTAGTGATGCGGGCGCTGTACCGGCTTGTCATTGTAAAAAGAGAGCTGAGCGTAAAAGAAAAGCACTCAGTTTACTGGTCGAACTACATCCTTTCCCTCGCCTACGGTCATGAGCTCTGGGTAGTGACTGAAAGAGATCACAGATTCAAATGGCAGAAATGAGCTTTCTAAGTTTTTTCTCAGGGTGGCTGGTCTCTCCCTTAGACATAGGGTGAGGAGCTTAGCCATTTGGGAGGGGCTCAGTGTAAAGCTGCTACTCCTCCACATGGAAAGGAGCCAGTTATGGTGATAGGGGAATCTGACAGGATGCCTCCTGGGTGTTCCAGGCATGTCCCACCTGGAGGAGGTCCCGGGCAGATCCATTTTAAATTGAAAAATGAGGAATAATGTTGGCAAGACCAGTTGGTCTGGGGTTTCCAAGGGACAGGCTGACATGGAGGATTTAGAAATGAAGTAATTTAAAGATTTTTTTGACAAATTTACCTTTTTTTTTTGTCCAACAGAGAAAACACGTTTGACTGTCACTGCAAACATTAACATGTTAAAGAGAAACACAAAGGGGAACAGTCCCGTTGTAGTCACCATTTTCACCATTTGATTGTTTATAAAGCATCTAAAGAGAATGAACAGAAACAGATGATGATTTAATGTCTCACACTGAAAAGCTAGAAAAGCATTCTGTAACAGAAATGTAGGACATGCAGTGTATTTTAAACAAATTAGACACATTTTCCTCCCTGACATGCAAATACATAGAAATTTTGATGCACATGCAAATCACCTTATAAATGTGAAGTAAGGTTAGATTTTACATGCATGCAAATTTGTTTCTTACACTGCAGTTTCAGGGGAGATAGAGATGTAGCCATAAAACTCTCTGTCTATGATCACCACCAATGACACAATGACTGCAGGAACACCTGAAACACACAAACTGATCAGTCAGACAAAGGTTTGCAGACTGGTGAAGACAACTTGCTGTTTAAAGTGCTCCACTTACCCCATCCCACCACACAGACTTTGAGCAGGTATCTGCTGACATAGGTGTCAAAAACTTTTACAAAGAGAAGGTAGAGGTGGAATCCCTCCAAGGCCATCCAGCTGAAAGCAGCCAGCAGGGAGTAGTGAAGGGCAAGAGCCATGTAAAAACAAAGCCATGTGGTGGACTCTGCTGCCACCATGTGACTGGGCAGGAAGTGCAGATTGAGGAGAATCAGAGCAATTACAAGGTTAATGTGGACCTTCATAGAGATATCTTCTCTGAGTTTTCTGTCAGAGAGGGGAGAAGGTATCTGTGGTAAGTGATAACTTTTGTGTAAAGTTAATGGTCATATCATGTTTGTAGGGAAATTAAGTGGAAGAATAAAAAAATTACTTGATGAGAGAAATGAAATAAAAAAGAAAAGAGAAGGAATGTAAGAGAGGATGACTGCATTCCTTTTTAAATTAATGAAAAGAAGAAGACCAGCAAAAAGGTAAAAGGAAAAGGGAGCAGAAACTAAAGATACTGATACTGATTCCACATATTGAAGATGTGAAAGGGGGGGGATGATGAAGGTGGGAATAATACCTATTTGTGATGAAGAGCAATACAGCAATGACCAGGGCACAAAGTGAAAGACTACAGCCAGTTATAGTAATGTATGATAAAATCTTCTGGTCTTTAAGTGAGATGGAAGTATATACCTGAGGAGAATACATACACATTGTTACAGTTAGAGATGTAGCATGGATAAATGGTTGTAAAGCCCCTTTTTATCATGAAAAAGGTAAATTCTACCATGATCACAGCAAAGTATGTGAAGTGGTCACAGGAACAGGTAACATTACCCTGACCACGTGTCCACAGGGTAAGGCAGCCCTCCTTACTGAAATCTGGTAAGTCAAACAAACAGGACCATTATGCATGAGTTGCTGTGATAGCTGAATGACATCACCACAAATTCCTGATGCTGAGTGAAACCACAATTGAGAAATACAAACACAAACAATGTGTTATAGATTACTATTGAATAGTGACGCTTGGTTACTTACTCTTTGCTGTGAAATTTAAAAACTGGCAGGATGGCTCTTGGGTTTCCTATGGCACAAAAAATATTGTGTTTATATATGCGTGTCTGTTCATGCGTGCATTTAACCATGGTCAAGAAAAGTACTTAAAGTAAGAAAGTGAACAGTAGCTCTTTGGAGAATATGTGTCTACCACCTGTGTTTATGGAAACCCAACCGAACCTTGTGCTATGATAATGTAATAATAAAATAATATTAGTAGATGGGAATAAAAACTTCATTCAGTCTCTATTTAATGCAGTTCTAATGAAAAACCAGGGTCCACTTGTAAGGTGTCCTTACTGAAGTCGTTGGTGAGTGCATATCTTTTTTCTAACATTTATATCCCCCCAAAAATTGCTTCTGTTCATCTGAATGTAACATTTTCAGTGGTACAAACGTTTTATCATTCATCAAAGTGACTTCTTCAGCCCAGATTGAAGAAGGTTTCCCGAATGTTACGAAGAGAACATTCTCATAAGGAAAAAACCAGCACCACTGACCAAAAACGGGCTGTGAGGTTTGTTTCTTGATCACTAATATGCAAATTGCGATGACCATTGATCAGTATCCACTGATCAGTGGCCATGAGCACCATTCATACAGATTTGGGGAATAGCTGCAATCACAGCATTGTGAGATGGCGATCATTTTACATCTTATGCAATACAGCATACATACATGTGTTTTAACAACTAATAAACCTGATATGTTGTTTTAACAATGATATAAAGGTATAGAAAGTAAGACTGGAGTAAAATATTGAATTAAATCAGGAGTTACATTTATTGTTGTGGTGAAATTCATGGTGATGTTGAAGCGCTCTTGTAGTCCTGATATTTTCTTGCCCTGCACACTTAGGCCAACCAGTCGTTGATCATAAACTTCATGGAAGGTTCCAACCATGCTCTGCAATACAACACAAGTTCATCAAGTTGGCTTGTAGAAAGTTTTTCTTTACTTGCTTTGCTGTCTACCATTTCTCCCCTCTTTTCTCTATCAGTCTGTCTGTGTTTGTGGACATATTCTGTTTTTTGTGCAACATTAATTGTAAATAAACTTCATTGTACTAAACCTGCAAGTTGTGTCTATGTAGTTTGATAAGTTGTCTTTTAGTAGATTTATTAGCTTGCTAAAGTTAAATAAAAAAAATTGCAACAAAAATGCTGATCCAATATTCAGAATTTTTTAATAAATTGACTTTTATTCATTCAATTTGATGTGGTTTGTTCTCATGTGGTTAAAAGAAAGTAAAGGTGCTATATGGTGGAGTTTTTTCCCCCCTAATCAGTGTATTTGGATGTATAGGAGAACTGCAAACATGAGCTATAAACTAAACCACATTAAAAGATAATTCCAGTTTTAAAACTAATCATGTTCAAAAACCAAGTAAGGCAATACCAAAAACGCTAATGTAAGTTAATATTAACATTATATTTTTGCTAAAAAATCTTACTGGCCAAACCAAAGTAAGTGGGAGTTTAAATTTACATAGTAAGTATACATGGGTAGGACTATTTGCTCATGTCTTTTTTATAATACATAACAAAGTATAGTCTCTCACGCTGGCTGTTTCAGCAAACTTAAGCATGGAAAAGATAATCTTGTTCCCCCCTCTTCCAACTTCTCTTGGTAGTCGAACGTGTACTCTCCTGTTGG